AGATGATCTGTGTAGCTTTGTTACTGACTAAGACCAGCTGTGGGTCAAGTTTCAAACCATCATGTACACAACTTTCTCAATAGTCCATTCTATGGTTAGCTATGTTATTGTGCCTATAATATGACATTTTCATTTTCAGATTTGCCCTAATAGAACATGGCAGAGCATGAAGGAACATTTCATTAAGAAAATTATTATTATGCTTTGCAACGGGAAGAAAATGTGACATAGAGGGTTATTAAAGTAATTCTGATGTCTGTTATAAAATACGGCAACTCTATGATTTAGTTTGAAAATATAAACTGATTTAAAAGTGTAAACCTGCTTACTTTCAAACCCCTACTTTTCATGTTAATAGATCCAAAAGAATATGACAACATACCTTTAGTGTAGCAATAGCACCAATTGCTTCATATTGATGCTTCACGAATGACATGTTTTACCATAATTCTTCAACTTTAGTCAAGCCTCTTTACATATAGCTTACTATATAAATTACAAATGAAACTTTGAGCAATTCTTTACAAAACGTATACAAACCTACAAACTTTCTTTAAAACCAAACATAACCCTCCTAAATCTACATAAAGCATCACAAACATCTTTTTCGAGTAAATAAACAAACACCAGTTCATTGTACTGACCACCTGTTTCATTACTAGCGTCTAGATACTCAGAGCAACGAGTCGGCTCACCGGAGCAACAGTCGGGGCTGCACAATTTTTATTTCAGCTGCAGTTTTTTAATACGGACAAAATGAGAGTTTAAAATTAGAAATAAAATAAAAATATTATAAAACTAAAAAAATATAAAATTAATTTTTTAATTATAAAATTAAACTGTCATAACCTAACCAAACTTGCTGATAATGAAAAAATTGAATGAATGTTTACTAATCGAAAAAATAAGTTCTATTCATAAAATAAAACTATAAATAGCTCAAATTCAATTTTATAAGGTTTTAATTATAAAATTAAACTGTCATAACCTAACAAAACTAACCAAACTTGCTGATAATGCAATAATCTTAGACAAAAAGTTTGTGCCATCGATGGGATTCGAACCTGGTACCATCAGATTCTCAGCCCGGCACGCTATCCATTTGACCACCGAGGCCGATGGCTCCAAGCCGTATCGTTGTGGTAATGGTGTTCCCTCAGCCAATAGAATGCTCTCATTTTGTCTTGCTCCGGTGAGCCGACTCGTTGCTCTGAGTATCTAGACGCTAGTTGTTTACTAAACTAAATTAAATTAAATCATGCAAACTTAGGAAGCATGCCAGGCGTAGCCCTTTGGAAAATAGCCTGTGGGGTAGAGCCCTTAGGACATTCGTCCATATCAATACTTTTCGGCAAATCTACACACTCTAAGCTTCATTTTCATGTGCCATAAGGCTATATTTTTATTTGGTAAATGGCCTTAACCGTTTACATAAAATTTGATTGTATCACTTTAATAATATAATAGATTTAGAAGTATTTGAGTTTTCATGGACATCTTCATGATGAAAAAAAAGTGTATTGTGACTTTTTAGAGAAAGTGATAAATCTAAATTGAGAAACCCTTCTTACTGAGCATGGACATCTTCATGATGAGAAACATTGTATTGTACTGTAAATAATATTTTTTACTGAATTTTTTACCAAAGAAATACACAATTTTCCTTAAACCTCTTATTTAACCTTGCCTGATTTCCTTTGTTTCTTCTGTATTGTGGTGTTGGTGTATAGTTGGTTTACAGGGTTTTTATAACAGAAACAGAACATAAACAAATGAGTCATCAAGTATACATGTTTGTATCATTTATTAAAATAAATATTGTTTAGTTATTTATTATTATTAGCCGCTAAACCAGTGATTTGCAACGGGGTCAGGATGCGGAAGAGACCATGTAGGTTCTTTGAAAAAAAATTATTTTACATTCACCATTTAATTCAGAAACGGAATGCAACTGTACCACTTATCTTGATAAATGTTTGTTTTTGTTAACTCAGGGGGCAAACACTTTTCGCTTGCGACCCCATGCGATGGCTTGGAGTTAAATCAGGCACTTAATGAAATATCAATACACAAGTAATTGTACTTACTTAGGGCTCAACATCAACTATCGTTTGGCAAGTTTTTATAGATAAAAATAAGGCTTATATACTGTAACCTGGAAATTCTATTTATTTATGCAAGGGATCCATTTATCAATGATGAAAAATCTGTCAAAACTTAAAATAATATTGATAAAATAAAAGGATTACCTTATCCAACCACAGTTGCTGGTATGACAACTAGTTTCATTGCTTAGAACTTTGTTAGGTCATTGTATGCAACTACATCATCAATGTATTAATACATTGTGGCATGTCAGAAGATTCTTCAAAACACTATCAGAATCACAATAGTCAAAACTAATCATGTTGATCAAATGATTAAAATAGAATAACAAATTATAAAACTGGTTAAAACTGTACAGGCTGACCAGCTCTGTTTCATCACTGTCACTGACTAAATAAAACTAACTGAATAATTGAATTTTAGGTGTCTTCTTCTCTCCAGTGCCACCTGTATTTCAGTTTGTTTTGTTCTTCTTATGTTATAGGCACTTCTTTGATTTGAAGGTTGTCAATATATGTATGAAATATAATATTTAACTGGAAAGAAGTTTGATAATTTAAAATGTTAAATGAGTAGAGTTTTTTAGGTTTGTAGATTGTGAATTATTCTTTAACTTCAAGCTTAAAACTTTTTGGTAATACTTAAACTATTTCCATGTTCTTATCATTAGATGTGTAGTTGTGCGATTCTGATATTAAGTTGTCATACCAGCAACTGTGGTTGGATAAGGTAATGCTTATCAATAATTTATTGTTATTCCAACCAAGGGTCACAAGAAATAACTTAAAATAATAAAATACTATGATTAAAAACAAACAATAGAGAAATGACAAGTGTGATTTGAGTTGATTAATTGTGTTAAAAGACTAATACGGGGTATAAAATCCACAAATTTACTACCTCAATGTCACTCTCTCAATCATTTATTCATTGCTATCTGCTTGGAAAAAATGTGAAATAAGTCAGATTAGGACAACGTTTTTGTAAATATCTACCAATCTAAGAGGACCAAATACATCACGGTTGAAGATTAAATTAAACCAATTTTTGGTTAACTAGTAAAAAGAACTACATAAAATTAATGTAAAAAAAACATTAAATTTGTTTCAACATTGAATTACCATCATTAACTCAGATCACCAACACTAGTTACAAGATAAAGCCAAGTTTCTGGAATTTCTTTTTGGAAACATACAACTTTGTCCATGAATTAAATGCAAATGGCTTCTTTTTATCATGTTAGCAGATTGGGCTCCGGAATAATTTCTCTTGGGGTAAGAACATTGCCTAGCATTTTGTTTTATTTATTTCCCCAAACAATTTTAATAACATTTAATGATTACACACAGTAAAAAACAACCCTTTCTATTTGAGAATGGAAAATATGCTAAACCCACTCTACCGATGCCCTCTGTAGGCCACTATTTGCTACAAAGTTTTTCTCACTAGCCAAATTGGGTGTCTTAAGAGATATACTAACAGACCCTTTTGACTGGAAAAGCGAATGCAAATTAGGAATGAATGAGCAAATACAAAGGTAAATTAGATTGAGGCAAAGTCAATGAAGACAAGCCAAATTGAGGCTATTTAATGGAATCACACTTAGACTTGACTACCAAGGGTGAAAACACAGTGGAGTGGGTCATTAAACTAGATTAGAGTAGTTTAGAATATACATAAAACCTAATTCATCATATTATGAGGGTGAAATGTCCTGATCTTGTAAAGAAACCAATTGATGGCAAAACTAGTAAAATACAGCAAATTGAAATTAGTAATTTATATACAACTGCTTGGCCCCTCCACTATGTTTTCACACTAAAGGAATACATATGAAACAAGTATCAACATTTAAATATTTAGGCTCAGTTATCGCGGAAAACGGAAAAAATAGAAGAAGAAATAAACAGAAGGGTTGCAGCAGCAAGTCGCCTCTTTTGGTGCATAAGAAACCAATTTCTAGGCAAGAGAGAAATCTCAAATAAAACCAAATTAGCAGTCTATAAATCTACCTTCGTGCCTACTTTGACCTATGAATGTGAATCCTGGACTTTGACCAAAAGACTCAAAAGCAAGCTCCAAGCAATGGAGATGAGGTATCTTAAGAAAGTAGAGAACAAACCTAGAAGGGGTAGGATAAGGAATGTTGCAATAAGAAACACTTTAGATGTTAAGAGACCTTAAGTACCACAATACAGGAACAGCAACTTAAGTGGTTTGGGCATGTTCATCGTATGCCCACAACTCGGCTTCCGAAGATGATGAAAGAGGTCAAAGTCGAGGGAAAGTGCAAGAGAGGTAGACCGAGAAGGAAAAGGGAGGAAGAGTAGAGGATGCTCTGCGTGAGAGGGGCAGCTCCATTCGTGAAGCTCTACCACTCATTGACGACAGAAAGTCATGGAGGCGCCTTGTTACCTCGACACCAACCGGTAGAAGAGGACAGGATTAAGTAAGTAAGCTTAGTGAGCTGTGTATTGTATAATGGCCATAAAATTAAATTAATTCATAGCAAAACATAGTTATAAAAATAATATTAACTGTTTTTAATTTCCAGTTTTATGTCCGTGATGGTCGTGACAATATTTTCAAAGATGCTCTATTAATAAAAAATCACCAAAGATATTGCGTTACCATGGATATTTTATGAAACTTAAATGTCAATGAAATAAAAAATAAAAAAAAAATTTTAAAAGCGCTTTTCCTGAAAACGTGCGTTTTTAAATTTTCACTCAACTACACTTGTTTTGTTTTTAACTTATAGCAAACTCATTTTTATCATTGAAAAACTTTGCTGTTACGTATGTCATTTACTTGGTTGTCCAATTCTTAAAACGAAAATTCATCATCTCTACTGATGTATAAAAAGGGTAAAAAATAGTAAATAAAAACAAAGGTACAGTATATGTAATGTCGTTGTCACCAAAATATTTATTTCTAAATAATGTACAATAATAAACAAGTGTCACAAGCCACAAATAATAAACCCTGAGGAACTTAACAACCAACAATACATGAGAAATGCTAAGTCATACAAGTAAACTGAAAATAATATATATCAGCATGTGATTAGAATTTGTAAAGGTTTAAAGCCTATTTAAGCTGTACAGCAACTAAAAGTTAAACAATTTTAACCATACATTTGCCCTTAGCAATACCCTTTGCCTATGATCCAAAAGTTGCAAATAATGGAAGTATGCAAGAAAATTAGGTACAAAGTTAAGAATAATTAACGGCAGTGATGACATTTTCGAGAACTATTATGATTTACACTAATGGCATTGCTGCTTAGGCTACTAAGCTGATCTGTGACATATGTGAGAGAAATTTGAAATTTGTAATAAATTAAGGCATATGTAGTTTAAATATTGCCTGGCATGTCTTTGAGCTTTTTCTAGAAAAAAGATTATGGCTTATATATTTATGAGGAAAAATGTAAAAATAGAAATAAGTTGATTAATGAACAAGTAAATTTCGATTCCAGTTGTACTTATAAAAATGTATTGGCCGGTGTTTCCGGTAGCCCATTGGGTATAATTAGGTACGCCATTCAAGATTCTTGTCATTCGCCTATTGGGTCTGATGATGATTGGAGTGTCCAATCAAAATCAATCACCACTTACCATCTTTTGTATATTTACCGTCTTGTGAGTAACAGTATAAGCATAAATATAAGTTTTAAGTGTTATAAGACGTATCTTTATTTACTTTACGTAAATTTAATAACACGTACAATGCTGATCAAGAAGTTATTTATATATCTTTGTCAGTTTCCAAAAATGTTCACACAAGTGATGGGCTCTTAAGTAATCGTATATCATCTTACTTTTTCTATTAAAAATTATTTTCATTGTTTTATTGTGCAAAAACAAAGCAGAACAAGATCTTTGCCTTGTGTTCATGTTACAGGAAGGAAAATGTTTGTAAATGACTATAATTATTGATCATGAACTGAGTGGTTTGTGAGAGATCGGTAACACCAAAAGCTGAAGCAAAGCAAGGTTTGTTGAGTACAAAACTATAATTAACAACTCATGATCAAAGTAAAAAGCACATGTTTGCAGTTTAATTAACTATACTCCAATCTCTGAAATGTTTCTGGATATGCTGAGATCAAACCCTTTACTTCTAGGCCAGCAACATCCCCAAACTTTTACACTTAGTACTAGAGCAACTCTGTTAAAAGGGCTTTCAAAAGGGATGTAGCTTTAATTTAAACTCTGTAGATTAAGTATGTTATGTTTTAAAACAATTAAAACTATTCAAATAGAAGAATTGATTCTTTAAAATATATCATAAATATAAATGATCTTTTTTATATTTAAGTATACGAAATATTGTTTTAACTTAAAGGCTTAAAGGAACCAAAGTCAAAACACATACTCAATCTGAACGCTTGACCAAATCAATAACTTAATAAATAATTAAACAAGTTTTCGTACTTTACAATTTTAAGTCTTGCCTTAGCACCTTTTTAAAACAAATACAAGCCCTACGTACATTAACAAAAATCTAAATAATGAGTAGCGGTAATGTCAGATAGGTACTCAAATTACACTGTAAGCAACAAAATATTGCTAATTAAATATTTCTAAACAACGGTAAATTAACAGTAGGACATACATAAACAACATCAGTAAATTTAGCATGTTCTTGTTTTAATCTCGAAAAACTTTCATTTATCCTGTTTCAATCAAATAGCAAAATCAGAATAGCAACTTTAACTATGCCTTATGAGGAAGGTCTACAGAAACCTAACGTCTTGCCATCAGAAAGAAATTTTAGGTTATCTTAGTCAGTGACCAGCAGTGTTGGCCAAAAATTTTAAACATAAAAAGTAATTGGTTTTGATGTCTTCCAAGTAGTGCTGGAAGAAGTGGCCATGAAGGCTGTCAGCCGATGTTAATGTGGCCAACAAATTTACAAAGGGTTAAGAAGAAGTAACACTTACTGAGTTTGAACTGAGGTCTGAAAGTAATGATAACAAACAATTTAAAACCTATTTTGTTGCAAAAAGCTTGAAGCATTCTAAATTAAATTGATGAGTTTCGCTGCCTAAGACATGATGACAAAAAGGGCCTTGAAATATTTGCCGTTTTAAATGCCACTGGAATCATCTTGAATGATGTAATTGTTAGGTAGACAATAGTTGTTATTAACTAGTGTGAGTGTGTACAGTGGCACTTTGCTGCACACGAGAGAAACGTTTATGCATAAGCCGCAGGCAAGTATGGAAAGTTTCTCAAGTGCAGCAGAGGGCACTTTGCGCTCACGTTACACATCATATTTTACCTACAGTTACTATAAAGCATATAAATAATTAGTCTTTCAAACCTACACAACACGTTTTAGGTTAGGTTAAATGCAAATATTGAAACAAAGTCTGTTTTGTGTTTGGTTGGAATACTGGAGTGCGGAAAAAAAATGAGTGTGGCAAAAGTAAATGCAGCAATTACCTACTTTGCGTGCTATAATCAGTGCAAGGAAGCCTGCTTTGTCAGGTAATTGTAGGAAAAGATAATAAAATAATTGCTGAAGGACTAAATGTCTGATGATGCGATTTAACACAAGTTAAACAAAAATAGATTAGGCCTACTTCAACAGGTAATGGAATTGCTGGATGGGTTTAATTGATAACGATATTGTAGCCATCCAATAGCTCAGCTGGGAACCGAAGCAACCAGATAGCACCTTCTAGTCCCCTTGCAGTCAATATTTTCACACTCGTGTCTAAATTTTAATGATGTAATTTATGTATAATCGCCAAAAATTAGTTGGATGCACTAACCTTATCAATAATTTAAACTCGGTTAAGCTTAAGCTAAAATGATTTAAATTGACTTATTTACACTTATTTATTACACTACTAGATTTCCAAGTGATCTAAACTGTGTAAGATTACAGGCTGAAATATTTCTGGATAATCTCGGTATTGCTTAGAAATATTTCCAAAACTCTGTGATGAGAAGCCTAATGAGTGGGAAAGCGATCACAGTACACTGCTTGAGAGAAAATACATCAATAACAAGTTAAAAATAGCTTCTATCTCAGGAATACAAGAATATAACATTGAAATGTCAACAAATGTGAACGAATCCACTACTGGTAGCACTGATCACTGATCTAGCTTCTTGCTATTTTCACCCGCATAAAACTCCCTCAAATTTCAACATTTAACAACACAGTTTACAAAAATAAAACATTTTAAAAATATGACTTTTCACTTAAACGCATAATTTAATTATCACAACATACAATATATACAATAAATACCAAAACAATGGTGTACAAATTGTGCAGAATAATCAACGGTCTGCAGGGCACACGACATGGTTAAACAAATGGAGAAAAATTAGGTCTTTTGGTGTAGGCCTACATATCCAGTTTGCTATAAAACATCCTAAGCATGACACTAGTTTGTATCTAAACTAAGAACAAAATGTAACAAAAGAAATATGCCAAAGGCCAATTGTACAACTAGCTTAGCAGAGATTCAAATGATTTAAAAATTGCTTTGTAAGCGTAACAAATTAATCAGTTAAAGAAATAAGGATGAGTTTGCTTTTAAGCTTTAAGTCTAGTACTTGTATGAAATAAATCTAGAGCTGCAATGACATTCAGAATCAGCAAGTTCACTAACCTTCCTGACACTCGGTAATTGAAAACAGAAAAACAGCAGTTAAGACAAAACTGTCTAAATGTCTGGAATTACGTGACTTAAAATAAACCAAAAACCTAAATAATTAAAAGGAAAACTCAAAAATTATGGAATTTTATTAAATTCAAATATAACTTTGAGTGGCTTACATATGCTATAAGAATTGTTTGCACAATGTGCAATTAAACATTTGAAGTTGTATATGTTACATTATTAATTTGTGCAATTAAAATACTCGTAGTTATATTATAGTGAACATAATTTTACTGTTGAAATTAAAGTCAAATTAAAACTCAAGGACAAAGATCATTTAACACGTTGCTGATAGAAACACAGTTTCAGGGTCACAAACATAGAGTAGTCATAGTGCATCAATGTCATCAATACAACTTTGTTTAAAGGAATGTTTGGAATGGATTTTCTTTCACAAGTCTTGATGGAAAAAATAAGTTTACAGAACAATACTTTTTTTTGTTCCAAGTTCTTTATTTTGCTTTACTGTGTTTTGATTTCACTTTCCACGTTAATCTTCAGAATTAGTTTGACAATGCTCAATGTCAAATGAAAATTGTTATTTTCAGAAGATAAAACTCAATGGTTGGGAAGGTTTTACTCAAAACTAAAATATGTTATGACCCCCTTTGTTAACCTCTGAGAAATTAAGCAATTTTAAGATATGGCGTAACAGTGATGTGTTACTTACGTGAATATTATTGAGTGTGTATCAATATGTTTACAACCTATCACTTGTAAACCAATTCATCACTGTACAATGGAGGGTATGTGTTATCTCATGAAACATAAAACAGTCAAAGTATACCTTTAAATCTTTAAAAGCAATAAATACTTTGTTATACAAGTATACTGATAAAAAGGTAATCCTGCAAAATAATGCGTTGTAACTTAATACATCTGTGACTGTATCATACTAATTTCGATAAATGTGATTCATAATTATAAGCAATGCCTTAAATAAGTGAATGCTACATAATTCATACCATTAATTTTGTACATTTAACATCAAAACCATGTTCTGAAAGCAAATTATTCTATCTTCACTAGTCAACAAGCAGACCTCAATGGTTGGTTACGACGATGGAGGGACGAGCCCGGCGGAACGGGGTCCAAGGGGGTGGAGGACCGACGGGGCTGCATGGGCCATCGTGCCCTCAGGACTTGAGGGCTTCATACATCTTTCTTGCCTGAACTCGAATATCCTCGTTAGGATGTTGGTTCATCAGGACAAACACCTTACTTCTCATCTTCTCGAGGATGTTGACACCGAAAATAGCAGCATACCTGCTGACAGGCCTAACCATTACTTCAGTAACACTGCTCTAACTGGGCACAAATACACTGCAATACATGGGCTGACTTGAGGTACAGAGCTATGTAGCATACCTGCTGACTGGCCTAACATTACTTCAGTAACACTGCTCTAACTGGGCACACATACACTGCAATACATAGGCTGACATTAGGTACAGAGCTATGTAGCATACCTGCTGATAGGCCTAACAATACTTCAGTAACACTGCTGTAACTGGGCACACATACACTGCAATACATAGGCTGACATTAGGTACAGAGCTATGTAGCATACCTGCTGATAGGCCTAACAATACTTCAGTAACACTGCTGTAACTGGGCACAAATACACTGCAATACATGGGCTGACATGAGGTACAGAGCTATGTAGCATACCTGCTGACTGGCCTAACATTACTTCAGTAACACTGCTGTAACTGGGCACACATACACTGCAATACATAGGCTGACATTAGGTACAGAGCTATGTAGCATACCTGCTGATAGGCCTAACAATACTTCAGTAACACTGCTGTAACTGGGCACAAATACACTGCAATACATGGGCTGACATGAGGTACAGAGCTATGTAGCATACCTGCTGATAGGCCTAACAATACTTCAGTAACACTGCTGTAACTGGGCACAAATACACTGCAATACATGGGCTGACATGAGGTACAGAGCTATGTAGCATACCTGCTGACTGGCCTAACATTACTTCAGTAACACTGCTCTAACTGGGCACAAATACACTGCAATACATGGGCTGACATGAGGTACAGAGCTATGTAGCATACCTGCTGATAGGCCTAACAATACTTCAGTAACACTGCTGTAACTGGGCACAAATACACTGCAATACATGGGCTGACATGAGGTACAGAGCTATGTAGCATACCTGCTGATAGGCCTAACAATACTTCAGTAACACTGCTCTAACTGGGCACACATACACTGCAATACATGGGCTGACATTAGGTACAGAGCTATGTAGCATACCTGCTGATAGGCCTAACAATACTTCAGTAACACTGCTGTAACTGGGCACAAATACACTGCAATACATAGGCTGACATGAGGTACAGAGCTATGTAGCATACCTGCTGATAGGCCTAACAATACTTCAGTAACACTGCTGTAACTGGGCACACATACACTGCAATACATCGGCTGGCATGAGGTACAGACCATGATTGGTGTGCAAGTTTTAAGCTAGCATCAATGAAATTTGTAGAAACCAAGATTTACAAATTAACACCCTCAAATTATACGATTTTAGTTGAAGTCTAATCTACTATAAGTTGTTATATATTGATTACCTAAAGTCAAAAGATCCTCTTTGCATCAAGCTCTTCTAGCACTCTAATACCAACCTGCTGTTAAGGATGTAATCCCTTTATTTAGAGCTAATAACCTATTCTCCTCAAGAATGACAAAGTGTCCATTCCTTATTTCCCTACTGCTACAAATCTTACATTGTGTCAGGAGAGGCTGCCTTATCCTCCGCGGGAAGGTCTATTGCAGGGTCGATGTTCATGTCTCGTGCAGTCTTAGACAAGTTGGCCAACAGCGTAACCACTCTTAGTAAGATTTCCTCTTTGGTAGTTAAGTCTAGAAGGTGAATCAGCCGACGCGGAGCCTGTGAAAAATTACTACAAATTATAAATCTAAACCTATAATCTTTTTAAAAATGTATATATACAGCAGTTTAAACAGAGTATTTATTATAATGAAGTTCTGAAGTAAACTTCATACATACAATTTTGACACAAATAACTGACATAAATTTGATAACCACATTTATAAGTTTATTGAGCACCAAATAATATAGATTATTATTATTCCTAAAGTGACCCTTTTCAGGTTAGGAATCAAGTTTAATGATCAAAACCAGGTCAAAAAGTCACTTTGTGCCCGTGTGGCAAACTAAATTTAAAAAATTAATAACTTTTGGATTAATATTAGACTGGTGTGTGACTGGTTGAAATTGATAACCATTGTAGCATACTCTTATTTACTGTCTTGTGAATGTTTACAGTCTAAGTGTAAATACATTGCAATTGGAAGAAGTATTTAATTTATTACATTCCTAAAATTATATTTTTATAATACTTAACCAGTTTTAAACTAAATGTGTCCGAAAACTAAATTTCCAAATGATTATTCAGTTCATAAATTAGCTTCCAAAATGATTTTCTTCTTGTTTTTCTATCATTAAAAGAGCTTTTACAGTAATTCAGATGCAATATGTATTATCCCACCAAGACAATAATACTTTCATAATTCCTGCTTTAAATTTGTTTATATTCTAATTGCTCTAAATGCCGATTAAATGTTGCATTAGTGAAATTTACAACACTGATGATAAACAATACAATATCTTGTTTGTTCATTGTTGTTGTTGTTGTTATTCAGAACTACTTTCCTTGTCAAAATATGGAATTTTACAAGCATACAAATGTACAGCTGATGTTCTAGACTACAGCTGATTCTTTTTGGCCTAGCCTGAAAAATGACTACTTAACTGTACTGCATGTTTTGCTGCAATATACCTGAGCAGCTAGGAGGCTAGGCACCATGTCTTGGTTACAGGATAGGTTGATGAGCAGTTTGAGGGCTTGTAGCTTGATCTGTGGTGAAGCTGAATCCACCAGGTGATACAAGTTGTGCAAGACCTGTAAGTGTACAATCATATAATGTAACATTAACACAATAGACCAGTCAGTAGAGGTTCAAATAGGGTTCAAATTGCAAACGGTGGAGTAGTAAATTTTATTTTTGCAACTTGTATATATGGGTATCAGGAAGCAAATACCAAAAATGGTAGCACCAAATATGTCGGGGCAACTTTTGGCAGGCTAAAAACCTTAAAATATGGAGGTTTTATGGGATAAAAATGGATTATTCCCATTTTTGACCCTAAATACACAAAATTTCATGATTTCTCTCCAAACCATTTTGTAGATCTTAAAAAAAATTAATAATTTTGTGTATTGAAGCGTTTTTGTATTCCCAATGGTTACGAGTTAATTAAAAAAAAAATGTTATTTTAAAATTCCCATGTTATTCTTATGGAGAATAAATAAAAAGCTGTAGCTTGTTTATTTATTTATGTAACTAAACCAAATTTGGAAATTGTGTTAATTCAATACTAAGCTATTGACATTGCAATAAAAACACGTTTAATATCTTCCCTGTAGCAGCAAACCTAAGTACTCACTAAAATTAATGTTAATTAAATAGGAAATGGATTTGACAATTTTTAGTGCATATTTAATTATAAATTTAGCCAGGTAAATTGAAATTCACATAGTCTGCAGGTTTGCTGTGGCGAGGGTATTTTATTTTTTCCATTTTATTATCAGTAAGTATGCACAGTAGTGCGTTTTAACAAAAAGGTTACTAAGTAACAAATTAAAAACCCATAAAAAACTTACAGACGTTGTTCAAGTCGTTTATAGTGGCGTCTGAAGGTACTGATGAGTCATAAGTTACATAGTTTTGACAGTACAAATGCACATCGTGGTGAGTCACACTTTTTTAAGAGGCATTAAACCCACAATTAATCATAGATTAAGTGTATGATTAAATAAACTTCTTTGCATTAATCACACAACTTTGGTCAATGTATTTAAAAGTTAATTTAACAAATTTACTATTTAGGGCCTACATAAATTCTCTTTTAAGACGTTGCAATAACCTCATACTTTTCTTTTTAAAGGGTCACTAATCCTCACTCTTTTGGATGGTCCTGGTTTGTCTTCGGACAATTGTGGAGGTTGCATGAATGTCTCACACAGGTCTCGTTCTCCACACTTAGTCAGCAGGTTTGCTGCGGCGAGGGTATATTGTTGATTTCCATTTTTTATCAGTAAGTATGCACAGTAGTGCGTTCTAGCAAAAAGGTTACTAAGTACCAATTAAAAAACCTATAAAATACTTACAGAAGTCGTCCAAGTCGTTCATAGTGCCGTTTGACGGTACTCATGAGTTACATAGTGTCGACAGTAAAATGCACTTCCTGGTGAGTCACACCTTCTTAAGAGGCATTATAATAATCATACAACAATGGTCAATGTATTTAAAAGTTTATTTAACAAATTTATTATTTAAATAATTATTTTTTTAAGCTGTTGTAATGACCTCATATTTTCCTTTTCAAGGGGTCGTTTATCCTCACTCTTTTGGATGGCCCCTTGTCACTGCTAAAAACCATTTCCTGCGCTTGCAAGAAGGATTGTGCTGGAGCGTGCTCTTGTCACAAAGCTGGTCTGAAATGCTCTTCGATCTGCAAGCACTGTTGTGACCAACAGTGCGAACATGTCATGCCAGCTAGTTGACGATGAAGACAATTCATACCTAGTATTGGAATGTGGAGAACGAGACCTGTGTGAGACATTCATGCAACCTCCACAATTGTCCGAAGACAAACCAGGACCATCCAAAAGAGTGAGGATTAGTGACCCTTTAAAAAGGAAAGTATGAGGTTATTGCAACGTCTTAAAAGAGAATTTATTTAGGCCCTAAATAGTAAATTTGTTAAATAAACTTTTAAATACATTGACCAATGTTGTATGATAAATGCAAAGAGGTTTATTTAATCATACACTTAATCTATGATTAATTGTGGGTTTAATGCCTCTTAAAAAAGTGTGACTCACCACCATGTGCATTTGTACTGTCAAAACTATGTAACTTATGACTCATCAGTACCTTCAGACGCCACCATAAACGACTTGAACAACTTCTGTAAGTTTTTTATGGGTTTTTAATTTGTTACTTAGTAACCTTTTTGTTAGAACGCTCTACTGTGCATACTTGCTGATAATAAAATGGAAAAAATAAAATACCCTCACCACAGCAAACCTGCAGACTATGTGAATTTCAATTTACCTGGCAAAATTTCTAATTAAATATGCACTAAAAATTGTCAAATCCATTTCCTATTTAATTAACATTAATTTTAGTGAGTACTTAGGTTTGCTGCTACAGGGAAGATATTAAACGTGTTTTTTTATTGCAATGTCAATAGCTTAGTATTGAATTAACACAATTTCCAAATTTGGTTTAGTTACATAAATAAATAAACAAACTACTGCTTTTTATTTATTCTCCATAAGAATAACATGGGAATTTTAAAATAACAATTTTTTTAACTAACTCCGTAACCATTGGGAATACAACAACGCTTCAATACACAACATTATTTATTTTTTTAAGATCTACAAAATGGTTTGGAGAGAAATTATGAAATTTTGTGTATTTAGGGTCAAAAATGGGAATAATCCATTTTTATCCCATAAAACCTCCATATTTTAAGGTTTTTAGCCTGCCAAAAGTTGCCCCGACATATTTGGTGCTACCATTTTTGGTATTTACTTCCTAGTACACATATATACAAGTTGCAAAAATAAAATTTACTACCCCACCGTTTGCAACAATCAACTCCTTTATTGACTGGTCTACAAACACTTTACCAGTGTCAAAATGCCTGTACCTAAACACAACTCTCAGAAGAACCAATACCAGTACCAACAGGGCAAGAACTTACAGTGAATCTGTTCCTGTGTCTGAACACCGAATCTCGAAACTGCCGAAACATTGAAAAGGCAATCCTACTAATAACGGTTGCAATAATCTCCTACCTACTTTAATAGCACAGTTGTAATATTTTCCCTCAATCTTTGGGATTTTCATAGGGTGTAAATAGCGAAACAACAAAACACCAAGAATAAATGGACACAAGATGATTAGGCCATTAGCGGCAATTATGTAAAAATTAAAAATTCCTAGTCCTGTATAAAATTAACAAACCATTCCCGGTTTTTCCAGTTAGCTAGATACCCTGAATGTTAATTTTTTTGTAGCTACAATGTAATCTATTATTTAAGACTAAAACTTATTTACACAACTTGGTTTTGGATTTTCAAATAAATCAGAAAACCCAAAGCTTTGTGACAGTAAAACTAGTCCCTGTAGATATTATATTGCTGCACCTCAGTTTCTGAAACCAGACGCTCCCAATTTCTCAAATACACCATACATTTTCTCACAAATAAGACGGCTCAATGTATGTACGGTAACTTACATTTAACAAGTTAGTATTATTTAGTTGGGTGCTAACGGTACCAATAACGAGAGTCGAGAATCGATTCTGATTGAGAATTCTTTTGTATTAGAGACCCTTAAGATTTTCACTAAAACTTCCGTCCTAAATTAATAGGTTGTTTATGATGTAAGTGTATTTAGTAACAATCGAAAACACCCTTTAAAAATAGTATTAAAAGCACGGTTTCTTTAACTTTTTTTAAAACCTGTTCATACATTTTTTGTTTCCTTTTTTGTATATTTTGGAATTTTTTACAAATTTTGATCTATAACAATGCTGTGACCTGATAATAACTGCACTATAATAAAAGAACCATCCTAACATTACAAAAAAAAGCCAAAAAACAAAAGATTCAACAAGAAAAACTAAAACCTTATAAAATAATAATAATAACATGGAAAAGTTAAATAATTCAAAGAATCCTACAACATTAAAACTTTCTTGAGAACATGAGTTTTTCTAATGAATCTTAATTTTATCTAACCTCATCAATATTTGCAAGCAGACAATGTGTTATATTTAAAGCATAAATAATATTATAGAAAATCATCGCATGGTTTTATTGTTTTTAATATAGGCCTATTCCAAAAAGAAACACATCACTATAAAAGACCAAGTTTTACGTGAGCCCTTTCGAGTGACATAAGTATTGAATGGATCCAAGCAGTCCTTTGAACTAATATCTGCTAAGTCCATTAGAGAAATTGTTGAGTTTCTACAATGAAACCATGTTGCATAATATGAAACACAGAACCCAAAAACTGTTTCCTATGTTTCAATAATATGCTTTATAATGTCTATTACAGAAGACATAGCTTAAGCATATGAAGACGCTTACTCCTCTCTCTAGCATTTATAAATATAAGAAGGAATTACTATAATTTTGTATCTATAACATGGTGAAAATATGCAAGGAGTGTTACTGAATGAAAATTTCTTAAACACTTTCATTAATCTCATCTCTGTTAGCTCTTTTTTGCCTCAGATGGTTCTAGTTATCAAATTAATTTTTGTTTACCTCAGTAATCTGATCTTTTGTTCTATTTCCAACAATTGATTTAACCCTTCCCGAGCGGCAGCTGCGGAGCAATGCCCTACTCACTAAGCGATCAATAATTACATTTTGATAGGATAAGCAGACTTACCTTAAGAAATGTAGGCATCCCACTTCACTACAGTAACACAAAAGAAAACACAAAAGAGATACCTACTGAAAATTTTGACATTGAACATTATTGTGAACATTGAATGTGACTCTAAATGTTGAGAAAGGGGCCAGTGACCTCAAAATATTATTCAGTATTTATTTTGTGTTTACTTCTGTGTTACTGTCTGTAGTGAAGTGGGATGCCTACATTTCTAAGTTAAGCCTGCTTATCCTATCCTTTGTTCCTTGATTCTCAGGCAATAAGCCCTTTCTATTCAAACCTAATAATTAAATAAAATTATATTGAGAAAGCTTGAGAATTCAATAAAATACTTACCGGGTAAAACTCGTCGTGCCACTCCGTCAACACTGCGATGTTGGTAAGAGTAACAAGAGCACACAACACTAGCTTCTCTAACGGTTGCTCCTTGTTGATGAAGGACAAAAGCACTGGGATAGCATCCTGCAAAAACATAATTCTTAACAGAGACCTTAGATTACTTAGCCTATTTATTATTTTTTAAACAAAAGAATGGTTTTATTCACATCACTTGAGTCAAATTAATGTTTGAAGATCACAATTCAATATTCAAATCTGTCAAAAAAGTTAAAATCTATGTATGGATTAGGTGCAATTATCAATACAACATCAACGGATGAAGTAAAATAGTGCATCATCTCTATCTGTATTTTAAAAGTTGCGCATCTTCTTAATTGAAATTGATTTTTATATAAATAATTCAAAAAGTGTTTTTTCTGGTCATTATGTCACAAAAACCTTAATTTTTAGGCCTAATAATAGAGAGTGCACTTGATTAGACCACACATTTTGATAAGATTAGCACAAAATTTAGCTCTGAAATTTTTGCAATTAGAAGCCTATGTCCATAATACAGTAGAGAAATCAAATGTTGCGAACAATTGACTTTGCAAACATACACTCTCATATTTCTTATGGTATAGAAATTCTTACAGTACCGGTAAAGCTTTCCAGAAAATATTAAAATAAGTAAGAGGCTTGAAAATAAAACAGTTGTTTCAAAACTAGTCACACAAGATTAAACTAGGATTGACAACGTAGGGTTTGTACAAACCTATTTTATATGGTCTTAAATCAATCATGGAGGCAATGCTGAATAAAATAAGTTATTTACGAACACACATATGTTACATATAGAAATGTGAACAAACACTGTTTTTCTCCTGTGGGGCCATCAAAACAAAAAAAATTTCTTCCCGGGTCTAGGGGTTACGGTGCCAACTAGAGTAATAGCTCTATAGGGAGAAATTCACTCAAACAAAAGTAATATTCCAACTAGAGATGGGAAATACCGTTAATTTTCAGTAACAGTCAGGAACGTTTTTTAGTATTTTGGTTTGGTTTAAATTACACAATTATTTTTGTCACCTAGTATTTCCCATTGCAGTGTTATTTCACTAGCTCGTTCTAACGTTACAGAACACGTTACAAAAATAATAGGGTATCCTCAGTAACCTGTTACCAAGGTAATAGGTGAGTCTTCAGTAAGTGTTACTTATTCTATTACGTTACATAACGCCCACCACTAATTCCCACCCACCTTCAATTCCTTCTGGTTGTCCTCATTCAGAGCTAAGTTTCCAAGAGCCTTGATAGCTGCAAGTTGAACATTTGGTTTCGGATATGTGAGAAGCTTGGTGAGTCTGAACAGACAGCCAGCTTCCCTCAGCATGTCCTGAACATTCAATCCACACATAGAAATCAAATTTCACGAGAAAAATTTAAATACAAAAACAGGATTTTACTTAGCCACTCTGCTGATCCACCAGTTAAGATAATTAAACTAGATGGTTCAACTATTAGAATAAAATTATTAAATTAGTGAAAAATTTAGTGTAGCTTTAAATATGCTTATGAATTAATAATATCCAGAATAACTTCTCTTGAATAATCTTTTGAATGGTAAAATTAGGAGAAATTATCAGAACTGGGAGAGCTGGATATGGTTTGATACATGGTTTAAACTTTGATCCACATATTCAAGTTGATCAAGGTTATTGAATCTTATCTTAATATACTTTTAAACTTTAAAATGTTTACCTGTAGTCCAGTGCAATTAGACAAAAAATGACCTTGACCCGGACAAAATTGATAACAGGCTGAAAATTTGTGGAAACGTTCAGAACAATGTCCTGAGTGGCCCACACAAAGTCCCAAGAAATCCCAGTTGGGGAACGGCTGCCATCTTGAAAAAACTGCCGCCATCTTGGAAAATTAGATTTTTTGCTGTATTTTTTGAAGTAATAGTCCGGAAGGCATTATTTATGTCTCAAATTAAGCGTTTTGAACTCATGTATGAGGGTAGTATGTAATTAAAGAGTTTAATACGTTCTAAGCATAAATATTATTTATATTAACCTAAAAATATATCTATAAAAATCATATAAATTTACAAAATATTTAAAAAATGAAGCTTTTTCTCTTTTGTTCTTAGTGGACTTGTTAAAGACATTAACCCTTTGATATTTCTTGCAATTCACTATGTTTAGTCTTTGGAATTGGTTAAATAAGGGGTGAATAAAAAGTCAAGACCCCCCCCCCCCCTCTAATAATTTTCTAAGTAAATATACAGAAATATCCTTTTGGTGTTGTTAAAACCACAGTAGGAAATTTCATTTGATGATTTTGAAATTTTTGAGTGTCCCCCAAAAAAAAGGAGATTTTGAGGACAACTCAAAAATTTTAAAGTATATCCTATTCAAGTGACACCTCATCTTGAAGTGTTTACAAAAACTTAAAGAATGGTGAAAACCAGAGTTCGCTATATCTTCTCTATCCAAAATGGTAGCCCGTCAAAAGTATAATGACGATATTAAATGGGAACTTACTACACATTAATTTTCTTGTGTAGTAAAAAGTAATTCCCCCCCCTCTCTAATTTGTTCCTAAGTAAATATTACAGAGTAATCCTTTTAGTGGTGATGCAACCTTAGCAGGAAGTTTCATTTTATGATTTTAAAATATTTGAGTACTCTCCTCTGTCCAAAATGGTAGCCACTATTACAATTACGAACCAATATTACCATTGATGTTCCATAACGTTTGACGGGCTACCATTTTTAATAAAGATAAATTGGAAACTCTGGTTTTCACCATTCATAAAGTTTTTGTAATCACATTAAAATGAGATGTCACTTGAAGGGGGTTTACGTTTAAATTTTTGAGTTTCCCCCAAAATCCCCCCTTTTGGGGGAATATTTAAAAATTTTAAAATCATAAAATAATACTCCCTGCTAAGATTGGACGACCACCCAAAAGGACATCTCTGTATATTAACTTAGAAAATATTAGAGAGGGGGGTATTGACTTTTTATTCACATAGATGCTTTAATTTGCTATTTATTTATTTATTTATTCCAACAGCAAGATCACTAATTTACAATGTGGATTCAAGAAGCCTAAGTAGTAACAACATGCATTTTAACAGAAAACTTAACTAACTTAAATCTATGGCAGGAGCAGAGCAACATCGGTAACAGGAAATATAATCTTGCCTAGAAAAGCAACAATTTAACAATGAAGTTAAAAATAAATTATGAAAAAGCAATTAATAATTTCGTTTGTTCTGATCTGAAAATTAGAATCATCTAGTTGCTATAATTGATTACCATTATATTTTAATATTGCATATAAACTTACAATGTAACTACTCGCTGTTAAATAATATTGACGGTGATGTAATCTTCTTTGTAACTAGCGCGGTTGGCACATCCGTGTCCAGTGCAGTATCCATGCATCGTGGTACAATTAAGACCATAAGGTTCCATAAGTTGTACTGTATCCAAGAATCCATTTCAACATGGACTTGGTTTGTGCGTATTTTAACCAAATATGAGTGAAGGATGAGTGTAGGATGAGTGGCGAGATCTTGTAGTCTTGTCTCAGTTGGTAGTTAATGAGCCATATAATGTCAGCAAGACAAGCATCTACAACTATTTTTTGTTCGGACAGGGCTGTACTGACATCTCCCAACATTACGAGATGTCACAGGCTTAGGCGGACGTTGGTAAGGTGTCACTGGCTGAAAGCCATGAGATAGAAGGACACTTTTTGCTTTTGGGGTGCAAGAAATTGCAATAGGATTAAGGGCTTAAACAAGTACATTATGAAAAAATAGAAAAAGCTTATTTTGTATATTTATATCAATTATTTTAGATGGGGACGCCACTATGTGCGTATTTTAACCAAATATGACTGAAGGATGAGTGTAGGATGAGTGGCAAGATCTTGCAGTCTTGTTAGTGACTAAGGCCGACATGTTCCTTAGACACAGATGTTAATTAGTAGCCCACGCAGCTAATGGCAACTAAGGGGCATACAGTTTATGGAATCCGAACTACATTATAGTACTGCGGATAGTCATAGTACTCACTAGTGCAGACGTTAATCCACACCAGGGAGCATCCCATCCACCTTGCATGCCTATAAATATCCACAATTCGTATAACAAATGGGACATAACCGTATCTAAATCATTATTATAGATATTTTTAGGTTAATATAAATAAAAGTAATGCTTAGAACATAATAAACTCTTTAATTATATATTACCCTCATACATGAGCCCAAAACGTTTAATTTGAGACATAAATAATGCCTTTCGGACTATTACTTCAAAAGATACAGCAAGAAATATAAATTTCCAAGATGGCGGCAGTTTTTTCAAGATGGCGGCCGTTCCCCAACTGGGATTTCTTGGGACTTTGTGTGGGCCACTCAGGACATTGTTTTGAACATTTCCACCAATTTTCAGCCTGTTATCAATTTTGTCCGGGTCATAACCTAATTGCACTGGACTACTGTTATTGTCTGTGATATTAGCTTATTAATCTAGTCTGACTGGGTTACTGTGTAACCCTATTTTACCATAATATGTGACTATGTCTATTGCAAGATTGTTTTGCTTAAGGACAATAAAGGATTTCTGATTTCTGATATCCATTTAAAACAATTACGTCTACAAAAATGTTCTTGGAACATAAACTACATTTGATTTTCCAATTCCATTGAGCCTACCTTTTACAAAACCTCTTTTTAATCGAGATCCGTGAAAATTTTACATTTTTAGATTCAGGTATCAATAGATTTAGTTGTTTGGGATTGGGACTGATAACTAATGTTTTTATATATTTTTTATCAGCATTGTTAGGTTAAACATGAAAAACCTGTACAAAGTGCTACCGGTAACAAAAAGTGTGCCACCTAGCATAGTACCGGTAGTTCAATAGCAGTGTCAAGGGTTCAAGACTGATGACGTACAATATCTTATCGCTGTAGTGACTGTAGTCGCCACTTGCCTGCTTATGTCACTTATACTATAATTACTGTACTTCACTTCACAGATCAGTAATCTGAGGTGACTAGTAATCGGACTACTCATTGCCAACACTAACATAATTATACTAGGGCCCACAAGGGTCTGCAGTTGGCAGCAACCAATACCAAGACTGGACTAGGGCGACGTTGCAACATCACCCGTTCACTACTTTTCAACACTAATTAAAATATACTAAACAATATTTTCAAATCAGCTGGTATTATTAGATTTTGCAACACCGCACTGTCCTCTTTGGCTCCTTGGAAGTCACATGGTAAATAGGCTCCTCTCTCAACTGCAGACTCTCGTGGACTGTACTATAGCTGTTTTATGTGTGTAATAAACTGCTTATATAATTAGCCTAATATTTTAGCTAATATTTTAGCAGGTAAAAACTCATTACCATAAAGTAGTACTTAATCAAAACCCATTTGATTAAGCTGGTGGGAAACATATATTTTCCCGATCAATTCCTTGTGGGGAATGTTCGATAAAACAGTGTGGTGTGGCAACAAATATTATGTATGGTCTATAATGCAGTGAAAAATGAGAGAATGTAAACACAGCACACATAACTATACAAGCCTCAATACCTGATTTCCAGCAAATGTTCCACAATTAGCGATCGTGATTAACGTTCTCTCTAGCAAGATCTCATCATTGCTGTGCAGCAGCGCGACCAAACTCTTTGCTTCAGTGGCAGCCATTACCCTAAATCATAAGATTCATTAGTTTAAATTAATGCTTGGATTGAAATTAACTAGCTAATTGAAATTGAACTTGCCAAACCTGTTATGGATTGCTTCTTTCCTTCTTGTAGTAGTTGTAAAAATATCCCTTTATAGGCCTACATTCACATCAGGTTAAATGCATCTAGTAGGCCTACTCATCAAGAAGTCCCATGCTGCCTTCTCTTTTAAGATTCCGGCCACCATCCAGTCAATTATAACATAGGTGGGATTTTTATTTAAGGTTTAAGCTAAAGGATAACACTTTTTTACTCTGCAATTAAAATAGCTGATGTGGTCGATTATTTAAATAAAGAAATATTTACACAGCTAGGTTTTAAAATGGCATTTATAAAAATAGCCTTTTAAATTAATGTTTAGTAAATTTGAAATAATTTCAAAATTCTAACCATTGATTTAACCTAGTAAACTGAAATACATGATCCAAAACAGCTTTGCCCCCTTTATTTGAGTTATTCAGGATTTTTTTGTATTTTGATTTTATCCTGAATGTTACCCTAAAACCCATACAACTAAATGTAGAATTAGCCTAAAAAAGAAATTGTCCTAAAAGTGAAGTAACTGGTCAAAAGACTGGAGAAGATTACCTTTGCCTATGATTGATGGCGTCCAGTCGCAGTCGCAGCTCGTCTTCTGTGTCTCGTAACAACTTCTCCGCCTCCTCCTGTTGGCTGGCACGGTGAGCGCTCTGTGCACTAGGTGAACGCTGGCGCCGTAGTGAGCGCCGAGTCCACCGACGTTTGACAGGTGAAGGTGCCGGGGAACCAAGCCCCAACATCACTAAGTTCTCTGATGATCGACTTGACAAGATGTGTCTAACGTCCACAGGACTCAGAATACGAGGAGATCCCCAAGGTGAACACTGCAACATTGTGAAAAATCTATATATGGTTGTGTACTAAAAGGTTCTTTATATTGTTGATGTAAGAACATTTGAATATAGGCTTAATACAAACCATGTGTGTAACAAGGGGATGGTTAACTAAAAATTTTTAACTAAAAATATTACTTCCATGGTAAATGGAAGTAGGCCTAAGTTGTTAAAAGGGAAGCAAAAATACGTTTCCACTGAGTATGGCACAGTTTTGAACAATAGCCTTAAATCTGAAATGACCAAAAACAATTTTAAAATGTCATTTAAAACGTCAAATAAACTATCTCATCTCCTAAAACCACGAATTGTACAAAACACTGCTAATTTTGATAAGACAGGAATTTACAAAATTAAATTCAATGACTGTCCCAGTTACTACATTGGACAAACAGCTCGCTTGTTTACACAAAGATTTAAAGAACACCTGCCTAAAAAATCTACTAAATCTGCCTTCGCAAATCATTTGATAGACACAAACCATAATTACACCGACATTAATACCAATCTGGACATATTGCATTATTGCAGAAAAGGCAAACATATGAACACCATCGAAGAGTTCGAAATATACCGATCATCTAAAAACTGTCCTACCCATTTGCTCAATGAAAAATTATCCTTCGAGTCAAATTTAATCTACAATACAGCAATAGATATGATAGATGGCAGTGTCAATGTGATGCGAGGATCTGACGACAACGGGAGTGGTAGGGGGCACATACGTCACGCTCTGACATCAACGCGTACGCGTGCCCAGTCATGACTCATCTTTTGCCGGCTACACCACGCACGCTACCGTACCAGTATTATTTTAATTGGCCAATTTTGTTAAATGTTTGTGTTTTCGTGTTCATATTCGTGTCTTCAACGACTCTTCACAGTTATGAAGAGGATTTATGTGTTTAGAAGGAGTTTAACCATGGTATCAGCTTGAAAATGAACCTTTAGGTTCGAAACCTGGGTCGCTGACCTAAAACACAGGATCACGGACAAGTACTACAGGTATTTAACCTTTTATTAAAAAAGTAATGCATTTGAAACAATACAGTAATGTGCTAGATAATAACAACTAGGTCTACTACAATGTTTGTAAACTAAATATTACTGCACACAGTTTAAACAACAGATTCAAACAGGTTCCAGTAATACTACACATTTTATTTCAACACAAGACTACAAATGGTTTACTTAACAGGTAAGGTAACAAAGATTGCTGACATTGATACGTATGTTGTTATTGTTACTATGTTTAACTCTAGCTGTGGGAGAGCAGTCAAACGCATACTTCTAGAACGAGCTTCCTACACTATAAAACATCTTTTTAAATTGCCAAATTAAGATATATGCTAATATGTGATGTGGGAAGCAAATAGGGACCTCTTGTCGGGAATTTTAGATTTTGAGTTGTATACATATTTGAATTCCTTATTAAATAATATAATGGTTTAATTACCTTCAGTCTCCAGTTCAAAGTAAGTCGATTGCGACCTAGGTTTCAGCACGACGTTGTGCTATCATCAGGCTTGCAGTCGAAAAATGTTCAGTCCATTGGACGTCGTTTAGTAAAAACTATAGCCTATACAGTTCACAAGACACAAACACATACACATTTACCGATCGGTATTGACAAGGGGAGAACGAGTACATTTTTGTCGAATCACTGGCCGCGACGAGTGACATCCAAGCCACAACTAGCTAGATAATTCTTGTGGTCTACCTGACCTTTGTCCTTTGTATTGTCTTGATCCTTGGCTAATAGGATTCGTCAGTGTCGCTTATTATATTATTATGTTTCTCGATTATGTCTCGATTATTTTGTTGGAAATTAAATTGGAGCTGTGGTAGATTTGATCGTTCATTAAGTTGTCAGCATCTTGTTTTAATGACTTGTAGATGTGAAACTCTTCTAATGTATCTAATAAAAAGCCTTTTTTGCAATAGCTGAGAATGGTAACATTTTCGTCAAATTTCCCCGCTCTATGGTCGTTTTCAATTATGTGTTGGGCGAATGTAGATTTTGTTGGATAAGTCGGGGGTTTGGTTTGTGTTCTTTCAACCGGGTTGTAAATGACCGACCTGTTTGGCCGATATAGTATTTTTCACATTCACTACATTTTAGCTTATATACACCAGTTTTTTCCAGTTTCCCATTGTCATTGGAGGTTCTAGGAGCGGGTAATAAATTGTATGGTTTTAATTCTTTGTTCAATAAGTTATACAATCGGTGGCCATATTTGATTGGAATGTACTTAAGGGTCTGTTGGTTCGAGTTTAGATGTTTGTTTATGTTTTTATTTCGATGTTTTTTAACCAATCTATCAACCATTCTACTTTCATATCCATTGGAGGCTGCAATATACTTTATGGTGTCTAATTCTTTTTCATAGTTTGATGGTGATAATGGCACATTCAAGAGGCGGTGAACCATGCTATTATAAGCCGCTGTTTTGTGGCTTTGGGGATGGTATGAGGAAGCGTGTATCGTCTGAGAGGTTGTGGTAGGCTTTCTGAAAATGTCGAACTCAAAACTGTTATTATTTTTCTTGATAGTGAGGTCAAGGAAGTTTATTTGGTTGTTACTTTCTATTTCTAATGTAAACTGTAATTTCGGGGCTATGTTGTTCAGGTGGTTATTTAAGACCTGTAGCTGTCGGGCGTTCCCATCGAACAAGACCAACGTGTCATCAACATATCTATGGTAGAAAATGATTTTACTCCTTATTAAATTCCAAATCGATTGGTGCAAGTTCCACGTATGTATGATTTTTTTTGTTAAAGTTGTAGGACTCTGAAATTTTTTCATGGAAAAGGGTCATTTTGAGAAAAACTGTTTTGAAAATTTCAAATACGCATAAATAGGCTACTGTGTTTTTCGTATTTAAGAAACGATTTTGGTATCAAAAGAAAGCTTATAATGTCCTCTTTAAAAAAAATTCAATTTTTGTTCTTAACCCACAGTAGTTTTCATGTAAATAATTGTTTTATTGAAGCATGTCGTAAAAATCACATTTCAGAAAAGGGACCTCTTGTCGGCCCTATGTTATTTCACCATAAGATAAGAAAAGGTACCTCTTGTCGGGACCGCAAAATTTGTGAGATATTTTGTTCGTCGTGAACTGAACTTTGTTGTAGTTCTCTAAATTTCCGCTAAAATGCAGGCCAATTCATTTTTTAGACTAAAATCTGTTTAAAAAGTGAATATTAGAAATGGCGCTCTTGTCGTTATGGCGAAATAACATTGAGCGACAAGAGGTAACTTTTCTCAGGCCGTGCAGAGGCTAACAAAATTATTTATTTCGACCTTTTGCATCTTCAATTCGAGATTTTAACCGATACTGTCATGTTCTATGTTAAATGAGGTATAATAATTAATAAAAACCCGAAATTCAATATTTTGGACCTTAAAATTACTTATATAGGCCGTACTGAAAATTTTGCATCTCCGACAAGAGGTCCCTTTTCGCTTTCCACATCACATATACTGTTCTGTTATAGTCGTGTTTAGCTCTTATAGTAGGCTACTATGTATTTAGAACTAAGTTTTTATTTTATATTCTTGTGTTGTTTTATATATACGTTTTCTGTGATAGATAAAGATGATTTGATTTTGATTTGTGTAAAATGTTGATGATTTGTTGAAAGTAGTAAACCTTTTCATTTTAGGACAACTAAAATGTTTAAAGGCTCTTTAAAAATAAGAATAGCCTACACAGTGGTCCTGTATCTAGGTCTTTCCATGAAGACTGAAGTAGAGAGCCCTACTTCCTATGGGGAATTTTGATAAAACTATAAGTTATGATCCAATAGCTATATATATAGTATTTCACACCAAGACCCCAAAAGTATAAATTAGCACACAGACCTAGTAATAAAACTTAAAATTGTTGTTCAAAACCAAATTTCTCCCATTGGGCCAAAACAAATTGAGTGCAGTAGATAGTGAGATGACTAGCCTAGTTTGGCACACACCTGTAAACTACGAGCACTGTGTCGAGGTGATGGTCCGGATGTCGCTTGTATTGCCAACATAGTGTCAGTAAACATTCGAGCCTTCAGGTTCAGTTCTCTGATACGATCTTGGACAGTGAGCGGCCGCAGAACTACTTTCCCGTTGTCCGTCAGGTCGAGGTTGCCCAACAACACGTCTGTCTGGGTCGTCTGTGACAACCGTCTAAAGTATATCCTGTGCTCTTCCGGATATCCTGTAACATTCAAACCTTTCATTTAGAATTAAATCCATCCATTAAACAGAATATACCTTTATAATCAGCCACATACTTAACGTTAAAGGATACAGAACCATGTGTGAAAAACCTGGAAGGAACCTATTTAGATTAATTTACTTTTTACATTCTGTAACTTAGCCTAGGCCTACTTAGAATTACTTTGAGTCATTAGAGTTAATATTTTATGTTGACTGCTATAAAGGAGAACATAAAATAGCCTATTTCATCTGCATCAAATAAACATAAATTAGAGCCTGGTGTGTTCTTAAGGTAAGTGATAAGTTAATATTTAAAAAAAAAACAGGCATTTTTGGAGGAATAGCATTTATTATTTACTTAGGCCTGGACTCTAAATTAAGTTAACTTTTGTACCTATTTAAAGTAAGTAAGTTAAGTTAGTCTATGTTTAAAATGATTAAATTGTTTTTGCATCAATGCTTTTTTTACTTTTTTACAGTAATCTGATACGCTAATTGGACGACATTGTCACCTCCTTTGAAAGAATAAACAAATAAAGAATTGAATCAATAAAAATTGGTGCACCTCTTAACACAAAGAAGGGTTAAACAATTATGAATGTTAAAACGGTTAATTTAAACCTGTGGTTTTGAAAATAGCTTATGCCATGTCGTGTAGTTATAGATGTTCTGTAGGGTACAGTAAATTGATTCAGTAGCATTCCTGTGGTAGGCTATTAACTGAACATAATTGACAATAATTTCAAACTATGCTAAGGCCCAGTCAGGTTAGAGAAATTGTTTACCTAGGTCTACTGCTCAAAATTCAATCATGATAATAAAAACCAGCAATTTTCTTGATAAGCTTATTAGGCTAGATTAAGATTATAAGGTTATTAGTTCATAAAGGCCCATTTCAGATTTGGGAGTCAAGGCTTAAGTTAACTTATAATGACTGGTTTGTGAGTAAAACATTCTTATGTGGTAAGCCTTAGCTAATTGTAAGTAGTGTTACGGTTGATTATCTAAACTAAGTCATACCTTCACCATCTCTTCTGCCGAGTTTTCTACAAAAAGCCGTCCTAACAACTGAGTATCCAACATAGGCAAATCCAGCAAAAATTGCTGAGCACAATGCAACTTTATTCACTGTCTTGTCATTAGGTGCTGTGTTCGCCATTATTTTATAGTAGTTTTATGTTTGTATTTGGCGAATTAAATCTGCTAAAAGACTTGATAAGCACTTCCAGGTAAGAATCGTAGCAGTTCTTGATCATTTTAAAATGGTCATATTTCGTTAAATGAAACGGGGATGAATTAATGCTGAATATTTTTATTAAAAAGACCGAACACAAAATGGACAACTAGTTCCCTGCAACAACATTTTAAGATTCCAATAGATGCCCTCAGAAATAATATAACGTTGATCAATTTTCAGTGTTGTGATTTAGGAATATAATTAATGAAATATATTACAAATAAGAACAAATTTAGATGGAAAGTGACACAGACACGAATAACGTTTAGATTACAATGAGTTCAGTCAGTCAACACTTAGCTCAACACAACGACAGGGACAGAGACGACGACGACACGACAGAGATCTGGGTTAACTTTAGTCTGCCTGCAGACGACTAAACTGATGAGAAAAGAAGAACAAAAAAAAGAACAACAGGGAAAGTTATAAACTCACGCAATGACTCTATGAATATAGTTTATATTATACTGTACTAAAGCAACACTCATTATTTGTGTTAGCGAATACCAAAGATAGACAATAGTAATGGACTTAATACATCCTGTGATTTTGATTAAAAAAAGTATAAAAAAATAAATAAATAATACGAAAAGAGTTTTAAATGTAGCAACAAAAAAAAAATTAATCGAATCAGATTTCTTTTCTATCAGGTAATTTAGTTCGTGACTGTTTGATTTGGACCCTTCCTTTTGATAATTTATGTAATTTAACCTTAAATGTATTTTTTTTAAATAATATATTAACTTAATTTTAGTTCCGATGACTATTTCATATAACTACATGATGGCGATATTTTTATTTGATTGATTGATGACCAGAATGTCTGGGTGTACTCTGTCAAAAACTTAATACCACTATTCACATAATTTACTAAATCTATTTTATATTTACTATTACTTATATACTTGAAGAGATGGAGGCAGCCGTCCTATCTCTGAAGAACAATAAGGCTCCTGGATCCGATGGGATCACCGGTGAAGTCCTCAAGAAGGTTTTAACTACTAACTCCTTGATCGTTTTGAGCATGTACAACGCCTGCCTTGTCTAAGAGGAAAATAGTCCTTTCCTTCGTGCTGGAAAATAGCTAGGCTTGTGCTTGTTGGGAAGGAGGAGGGAGACCCAGACCTGTAATCCTCTTACATACCTCCGACGCAAAGACCTTGAGAAGTTGATCCGTTCCCGACTGAATTCAGCCGTGGTAATTGCATCACGGTCAATAACAGAACAGGTCACTGCGGAGGACCTCTGTTCCCTCGTCATTATGGATTCAGGAAGGGGCGATCAACAGTCGATTCTATTGAGAAGGTGAAACAAGCCGTGATAAAAGCTGAGAGGGTCTTAATTACTACTCTCGTAGGGCTGTGCTGCTCGTAATACTCGATGTGCAAAATGCATTTAATTCTGCAAGATTGTGTGATATGCTGGACACTTTGGAGAATACCTTCCAGGTACCGGCAAACCTCATGTGCATCAAAGAGGATTATCTCAGGTTCCACCTCCTCATGTATGACACTATACGGAAGGCCCGTGGACGATTAGTGTGTCACTTCTGGACCTTCTGGTGCCGCCCAAAGTTCCATACTCGGCCCAGACATCTGGATGAATGTGACAGCCTTCTGAGGTCTGAAATGCCTGAGGAAACTATTTTGGTTGGGTAGACGACATTGCAGCTTTGATAGCTGCACGTAGCTCAGCTAAAGCTGAATCAATTAAGCTATGGATGCGTGTACCATCGGCGCATCACATCGCAGTGAGGGAATCTTCGCTCACTTTGAGCAAAACCATAAGATCGTGATTTTGTAAACAAACAACAAATGGATAAACACCATTGTGCTGATGATGGAAGGGGCCACCTAAGTCCAAACCGTTCGTACTGGCAAGTACCTTGGAATCATGGTTGACAGTAAGCTTAGCTAGTGGGATCAGATCTTCTGTAGGGCGGACAAGGCCGAAAAGGGTGGTTTCTTCTCTTAGCGGGTCGATGGCCAATGTCGGAGGGCCTCGATCTAGTCGTAGAAGGCTGTTTATGTCAGCAGATCTCTCCACAAGGATTTATGGTATAAAGAATGTGGCTAGTCTGTGTGCAGCATCAGGCAGCACTAAGGGGAGCATCTGCCTACTGAATAGTGTAAAACCTGCTGTCCTGGTGGTTGCTGATGGAGTCATCCGCATCAAATTTTTGGTGGCGGAGAGGAAGGCAATTTATCAGAGTGACTTTTCTGGTCATAAACCGTGACACCCGATCGCATATACTGCCAAGGCATTCCCAATGATGTGGAACATACTTTTTTCCACTGCCAGCTTTGGGATGAAAGGCCCCGCCTGGAGGCTCAACAATTTGTAGGTCTGCTGTCGGTGGAGACGATCATACCGATGATGACGGAGGGTAAAGAAAGGAAAATTAAAACTGTGTGTCACATTTCATCCAGAGTATTCTCCGTGCCAAGAGCTCAACCTTGACTTGGATGCGGTGTAGGTTATAAGAATCTAAATGCCAGGAACGGTGCGAGCCCTAAGGGGGTAGGGCACATGTTGGCCTGACTTGAAGTTATGTGACAAATAATTCCAGGTCTGTGTCCAACAGAGTACAGGGTTTTTTTGTGAGTAGTCTAAATTCAGGAGTCTCCACTACATACAGGCTGGCTACCTGTGTGTGTAAAAGCATTTTCCCTCCTTCCCTAAAAAAAAAAAAAAAATACCCCCGCCGCAGCAAACCTGCCGACTAAGCGAATTTACATTTGTCTGAATTGATTTTCAGTTAAATATATTTTAATAACATTAGGTTTAACGAGTACCTAGGTTTGCTGCTACAAGGAAACTAATAAAGTGTGTTTTTGAGTAAAATATTGATAGCTTAGTACAAAATAAATAAATTTGCCAAGTTTGATCAAAATATATTCATAAACAAGCAAACTACAACATTTGACAATATTCTCCATAAGAATAACATGGGAATTTTAAATTTACAATTTTTTAAATTTTCTCCGTTACTAATATTCAAACAAAAATACTTTTATATACTAAATTATTTGTTTTTTTAAGCTCTTTAAAAAGGTCTAAAGAGAAATTGGGAAATTTTGTGTTTTGAGGGTCAAAAGTGAAAAAAACCAATTTTTACCCCATAAAACCCCCCGTAAAGCCCCGTTCCCATGGTCCGATCATGCTGGTTCGCGAACTCATTCAAGTTTATCCCGCTTTACACCTTTAAACCAAATTTCATCAAAATCGGACAAAAATTACTCAAGTTATCGTGTTCACGGACGTATATATATATATATATAAGTCTATATATATACATATATAAAAATTTGAACGAATAGTGTTTTTGGCCTCTGGGGACATAAAAATGAAAAAGTAAATCGGTCCCGGGTCTAGGTCTTACCGTGCCACCTACGGTAATAGCTACTTCCCTATAGGGAAATTCGCTAATACCTCCTGTGATGTTGATGACCAGAATGTCTGGGTATACTCTGTCAAAAACTAAAAATACTAATCACACTATTTACTAGTCATACGACAGTCAAGGGCAATAATCAATAGATATTGGCATTCTTTACGGGGTAGTGGAATTTTATCCCCCTCATATTTTACCCCCTGAGCAAAACTGATGTCACAGCCTGGGGGTTCAAATTCCTGTTGCAAATTTTAAGCTGCACACAACATGATTTAGATAAATTAAAAGTGGAACTAAAAGTATCTTTAACGGTTGTAAATTTTATCAGAATTATAACAATCAATACATAATTCATATCATAACTATACAAATAAAAATTATAAAATCTAAAGTGTACGGACAGGAATTTTACACCCGTCATGATTTCAATCCAGACAATATGATACAGCCAAGACCTTTACCCTTGGAATTTTACCCCCGGAATTCTATTCCCTGGCCACCCAGATACAGAATTTGGTGAGAATAATTAATTTTGTACATAAAGGGTGATTTAAAAACTATTATTTAACACTGTTTATTTTAAATGTTGTAGTCAAAATTAGATAGTACATAGGGTATACAAACTTTAGTTTTCCTACTGTTTCCGTGAAAATATCAATAAAACAATTGTCATTTCCTGTACACTTTGAAAATTTGGGGGAAAAGCCTAGGTTGATACACATTTAAGGCTGTGGAATCTTACTTAACTCTATAATCAATGACTCATAATCTAGAACAAATAAATCAGTGCTGGTAGTAGTTAATTGTGCTAAATGTGAAATTTAATTTGTATAGATCAGCTGTCTGAAATTATGAAATGAGGTGAGGTTTGCAAAATTAAATATGATTTGTGTTCATAGTAGGATAAGAAAGCTCACAATGTTTATCTTTGCATTGAAATTTCAATGTAAATTAGCATAACTGCATAACTGGAACCAGTTTGCAACTGAAACAAAACTTCTGTCTGCACGTGACTGTTTTACAACTACAGTTGCGTCTATTGTGCAATCAGTGGAGTGCAAATTTAGTGCAGTTACGTTGTTTTAAGGCCTTAAGTGCACTTACTACGTGGGACTCAGACGAAAAAGACGTCATTAGCTATTAGAATATAACAATGTAGCCAAAATTAGGATGTAGTTATTTTTCGACGAAATAAATCACAATATTGTATTGTTTAAAGATGGAATAAATGACTATTCATTGACTATTATCAGTACCGAAGACAGCGAAGGGTACTGAGAGAGCATTGGGTCCACCCTTATTTGAACAAGAATGTTAGTACTAGGCTGTTAGAGCTATTCGGATAGGAAATTATAAACACTAAAAACACTATACGGCCGTCAAAATTCCACCAAACACCACAAAAACACCCCGTGGTCTCGTGCAACTGAAGTCTGCAACGCAACTGCAACGTCGGGCCCACGGTTGTATGTGAGTGGTTTCAAACTTTTTTTGAAATCGCATACTGTAGCGTACTAGGCCCACATGATCTACTTTATGTATTAATATATTTTAATGTCTTGACTTGTAAAAATTTGTGTAAATGCCAAAAGCAGGTAAAGATAATATCCTCTTGAAAATGATTGAACAAAACTTTTATTTTAAAATCTTCATTTTTCCATAATAACATTGAACTTAAATTCTTTAAAATAAGCTCTGCTCATCAAAATTATATTAAGATTCAATCTATTAAAAATTCCTTCTTGATATACTATACTTAAACAAATCTTGACTTTTTTTTAAATTTTTAAATTGCTTCTTAATCATGAGCCCTAAAAGAAATAAAAATTAATTAGAATCTTTGTGAATTGAGATTTAATCAAAATCTGAAAAAGAGAGGACATCTGTTAACATATCTAAAATAAAACTAACTAAATTTTTAAATTTTTAAAAGACTTACCCAAAACGTGGGGTAACTGACCAAAAGAACAAACAAACTGTACTTTACTAATCAACTGGTTTTGCACAACAGAGGCCGGACAAGAAGGGTGATTAAGTTTTGTCTGACCAAGGCAACCCTGTGATTGGCTGAAGACCATGTGCTTCAAACAATCACTGAGTTACCCTGGCCAATCAAATTGTCCTCTCGTTTCCTTACAGGATCTTGCAAATATTTAAATTTCTGTTTTAACTGACAAAATTGAACTAACATGTTTGAATCTTTCATGACTGAGCAGAGCTAAAAAAAAAAAATACTAACTTGAATTTGTTTTTTAAAGAGTAACAAAAAAATACCAAATATAAAATGCTACAATACAATCAGTTGCCTCGCGCCTCCCCACTGCAATACATTGCCGAGGTCTCAAAACAGTTGCACGCGCAACTGGTTTGCAACCATAGTTGTAAAACAGTCACACCGTGTGCGCTGGGCCTTAGCCTCTCTGAGTAGCATACACTGGTTGAGTTGGAACTGTGCTTGGATGCTTTAGTCTTATGCAGTAGGCATCTGAAGCATACATTATACATTGTCTGGCAACTAAACTAGAAAATAAGCATGACGATGCATTAGTTATTCCAATGAAACAATGGATAGGAAATAAAATTAAACAGGAAATACAAAATTATAAAAATATCTTTATTTTTTAAATACCTCTTTAGTTTGTCGTAGACTAAACTGATAAAAAACTAACAATCACCATTTTGGACACAGGTAACTAGTATATAAAAGTATTGTACATCGAGGGTAAAACTAGTTCTTCTAAACATATAAAAATATAATCAATGAACAATCTTTCTTGTAAAAAAATACTTTCTTGAAACTATTCTGATGTAAGAAAAAAACAGTGTCTTGTGGAATGTACCCAACAAACCAAGTTTTTGTGAGCATAGAAATATAAAAGTATAAAAAATAAAACTTAAACTTATAAAACAGCAATTATTGATCATTTATTGATCCCAAACATTTCTTAGTTTATAGATATTTATAGTAAGAAGTTTTAATATCAACTTCATTTTTTTTATTGACTTGGCAAATGCGAGTTTTTGTTAATCCAGCCCAATAAATGACTATTGACTTATTGCTTATTTCTGATAATAAGCTCAATAACAATACTCGATGTAATATCCATACTTAATTCCCAATACCATTGATATCACAGAAGAAAAGAGTATCATTATCCACATTTAAAGAAAAATATTATAAAAAAATCTCACAACCGGTAATATATATTACAAAAGTTAAAATCTCTTTAAGATCAAAATCACTTGAGGTACAATCATATTATTCATTCTGATAGCCCCTGGACTACGAATAATGACTTATATAGGCTTACCTCCGTCAGTAGTCCAAAATTGTGTCTTAATTCAACTAATGTTGATCAAAGCTGACATGTTTCGTTGCATTGCAACATCGTCGGAGCTTTACGTCAAAAACATCAAATAATTTAAACATAAAATACAACACGGGACACGGAACATTTAAACACGAAATAACACGATAGCGCTATCATGACACGGCATGATAGCGCTATCGTGTTATTTCGTGTTTAAATGTTCCGTGTCCCGTGTTGTATTTTATGTTTAAATTATTTGATGTTTTTGACGTAAAGCTCCGACGATGTTGCAATGCAACGAAACATGTCAGCTTTGATCAACATTAGTTGAATTAAGACACAATTTTGGACTACTGACGGAGGTAAGCCTATATAAGTGAGGTACAATGCATTTGTTTTTGAGTTATCTCAGTCGACACAAAAATATAACAAAAACACTTTTTTAATTTACTTGTAAGAGTGTAAAAAATGTAGTAGGTAAAAACTACCACTTTCATCACAGTAAAAGATTGCACCAGCACATTCGTTACTAAGTTCATTCACTCATAAATATAAATTTTGTGTGTAAGGTACATAAAGGACGGCCAAAATAATAGTCCAAAAGGATAGATGGTTAGAAGCAGAGTTGAGGTAGGGCAGTTCTGTACATTGAGAAGGCAAGACGGGTCTAGCCGAGCCTTCGCTGGACACTGCCTCAATACAAAGCTTCAGATCCGCCTGAAACATGTAAATGTATTGTCACAAGACAGACCAAACAAACTAGGACCATTAGAAGTCTCCAGGCCTTTTACTTACGTAAAGTAATCACATTACGTGAGATAAAAGTGATCACTTGCAAAATATGATTATGTTCAAGGTCAGCAAATTTTCTTGATATCCAAATCAACAACATCATTTGGTGAAACAAACCTTCAACATAGTTCGGTTGGTGGATAGATATAGTGTTCACCTATTAATCAAAAGATTGATAATTCGTCCAAAACTAGGCCCAGACGAACTTGATGATGGGGCTTTTGATAAATGATCCTGGTAAAAGAACCAGGTGGTCTTAGTCAGCAACAAAGCTGTCATCTCATTCATTGAACACTCATCGTTCAGTCTTCTTTGACTTAAAATATACACCTTTTGGTGTTTCAGCATTGTCAAACTCTAATCATGTTAATATTTCTAATCTCCATAAAATTTTTACTGAAACTGAGATAAATACAGGGTAGGCCTAATCAGATATTGAATGAAAGACAATAATTCTATCATTTCAGCCTCTGGATTGCTTATATAAGCAAATAAATAGTAGTCTTACCTTAGCAATCCTTATTATGGTGGTCCGATATTAATTTCAAACCCGTAGGTTCATCATCAGTCGGAAGTTTAGGTAGACCAAATGTTTGTTATAAAATCCACCGGATGGGTTTCGTAGAGATGTTGACATTTAACACGAAGACGACACACATTACAATTGACATAAATAATATTCGTAGTTTAGGGATAAAAACCATGGTTTTATAAAACAGTGGGATAACCTCACTTCAGTCAGGGAACACGCTGCCGGCAGAACTGTCAAAATATAGTCAGGATTGTGCAACCCTCACCTCAAACCTCAACCCACAATCCTGACTATATTTTGACAGTTCTGCCGGCAGCGTGTTCCCTGACTGAAGTGAGGTTATCCCACTGTTTTATAAAACCATGGTTTTTATCCCTAAACTACGAATATTATTTATGTCAATTGTAATGTGTGTCGTCTTCGTGTTAAATGTCAACATCTCCACGAAACCCATCGGGTGGATTTTATAACAAACATTTGGTCTACCTAAACTTCCGACTGATGATGAACCTACGGGTTTGAAATTAATATCGGACCACCATAATAAGGATTGCTAAGGTAAGACTTTACTATTTATTAGACAATAATTCACGTGTCAGCATTTCCTGTAGCATTAAGAGGTCTGAACAGTACACACAATGTATGACTAGAACAGCAGATTGCCTTGGATTTGGGCCAGTGGAGAAGTCTTCTTTTAAATTGATTGTATCCTTTTTGATTTTTTTATAGTTAACTAAATTGACATAGGTACTCTTAACTTAACCTGTCTTAGATAATTTTGACCAAACTGTAGACTGCAAAAGCCACATGATTAATATCTATAGTGTACCTACAAGGGGTTGGACATTAAAGTGTGCTTGAAGCTCATTTAAAGCCCAATGAATACAAATGAAGCTATTTACCTTATTCTTTGGCAACGTATATAAAACATCACTCCTAGTGTTGTAGGATGCAAGTTTTTCCCACAGTGGTGTTTCTTCTTCAGTTGTATCATTGTCTTGTTTCTGCTCTTTCACAATCAACCTGAAGTCTGCAATGTCCAGTTTTGTGTTGACAAACCAAGTGATTTTCACTCCACCGTCTCGAGTTCTGAAAGAAGCAAACAATTTTACAATGTTTCTTGTATTATTGCCTTAAGCATAATAAATAACCCATAAAAGATTATTCTAGCTTGAAATCTCACATGAATACAGCTCTTGTAAGTGGAAATGTCGGAGGATAAATTGAACGGAGAATTTTAAAATAAATTACAAAATCTTACAATGTAATAAAGAAATTAATTGTCATTAATCTATATCCATTAACCAGAATAATGGAACGTAATAATGGAACTTACCATCCAAAACTTCAAATATTATACTGTGTTTAGCATCATACCCAATTAGCGTAGATCAATAATTTAATCTAGTGAATTTTTTGTGTTTTTGACCTGATTTGCAAGGTAATCAAATAGATTTTTATTTGTGATATTCCACCTTCGGCTGGGTTTGTGTACAGTACAGGTACTTTCTCACTTTAGAACAGGATTATATTCCAGATCCCGAAACGAAATGTAAACTTTGTTTCTAATTCTAACTAATCGTGATAAATAATGACCACAATAATATCTTAAATAACTAACAGATAGTCATTTTGACTTTTAAGACCCTAAGAGAAAACACTTATGGTTCTGGAACCAATCTTAAAATAGCGACTACGGCAATAGCTCCTTTCTTTAAATGGACTCTGCTCACTCACTTTTGCAACTGCCTGAATTTGACATCAGGAGTGAGTTGTAGGTCTTCATCTTCCTCTTCTTCTTTTGAGTTGCATGGGAGAGATTCCTCTGACAGTTCGAGGAGTGTAGAGTTAGTTAGTTGCTGCTCAACAAGGTCCAGACAATGAAACTCGCTCCAGACTCCGTCAGCCTCCACAGAGTTCACGGCCCATCTTCTCACAGGTCTCAGTCTGCAGTCGCAGCTCACAGGGTTACCTTGACAGAAAAATTAAATTTTAACTTGTCCCTTGTGACCAGGGATGGATAGGTCTCCAAATTTCAGGAATTTTTGGAGAAAAACATATTCTAACTATCCTGGCTGGCAGAGTTACGTATATACCAGATTTTCTCAAGACAAAATTCGTTCCAGCCGTCAGCGACTTTGCTTTGATCTTGATTGTTGATGATGTTACTGCGATGGCAAGAGATATAAACAATTTCGCAGGTCGCCGGGATAGTGAAAATACAGTGGTTCTACTGTAGATAGAGTGTGATAAATTAGATTAGCAATAAAAACCGGAATTTTACCCCCGTCCATTTAACTAATGTTTGGCGACTGTAGATGTGCGGCCTGAATTTTTACCCCCTGTGCAGATATAGAAATTAGTGATATTAATTAACATTCTGATTTCAGTTTTGATTGAATAGTAAACATTTTATTATTAAGTAGCCTATCTTAATTTATTTTTAACCTCAACTAAGTAAACAGTTTCGCTGTTTAGTTTTCATATTAGAGTTAGTTAATATGTATGTAAACAAACTGAGTAGCCCATTTAAGTGATAATTGGGTGAACATTTCTTAAACGGTTTACTATAACAACTGTGGAAAAACAATTTTTTTTTTGTTTCTGCTGTACAATAACACAATATGCCTTTTTGTTTCTTCATGCACAAACCATGGGTTTCCTTACAGTAGTGAACCCATCAATTGGTGTAATACTTTGTACCGGATGCCTTCAACTAGATTTTAAAACAGGTACCTTTTTTTAGTACAAACTATCAATAGCTCATGGTTTGTGTTTGTAGAAACAATAAGGCATACTTTGTTATTGTTACAATACCAAAAAGAATTGTTTTTGCACGGCTGTATAATAAATCGTCACACAAATGTTCAAAACAATTATTATTCATTATGGGCTACTCAGTTTGTTTACATACATATTAACTAAGAGTTGACCCCAGAAATCAAATTTCTAAGCTCGACTCTCAAAATTAAAATGCAAAACCAGTTTCATTAGTGGAGGCATTGACTATTGGATACTGAAGTACACATCCAATCTATATGGACCAGCTGTCGAAAATTATTTATTAAAAGAGAACTTAGTTTTGTGAGCTAGTCACAGAATGCACTAGCTTGTATAATTCTATTAGACAATAGACAATAGACAATAGACAAAATCTTTATTGAAATATTCCTAGAGAACATTCATGCGTCAGGTACATAAAATGTACAGTATGTACGTAAACTATTACAGTAATTCTTTTTTTCATGGTAGCTTATTGTTTAAGAATTCATCCTCAGAGTAGAACGGCCGGTCCATAAGCCATGTTGTCAGGTGCTTCTTGAGCAGATTGGGTTGTTCTCTCTTGAGGTGCTCTGGTAGGTTGTTAAAGTACAGAGCACCTTTGTAGGATGGTTTCTTCTCGTACAGACTCAGATGGTGTTGTGGGAGGGAAAAATTGGCGGCATGTCGTGTGTTGTGCTGGTGTATGTCTCTGTGTCTTGGCTGGGCTGTTTTAGTGGTGTGGATAATGACTTCTCTTATGTAGAGTGAAATTGATGTGAGAATTTTAAGGTTCTTGAAGGCTTCTCGGCAACTGTCTCTGTAGTTCAGGTCGGCAAGGCATCTAATTGCTCTTTTTTGCTTTAGGAGTACTCTTTCCAGGTTGCCTTTTGATGTTCCACCCCAAGTCGCAATGCCATATCTGAGGTGGGACTCGAATAGAGCAAAATATGCAACTTTGGCTACTTCTGGGCTGCAAGCTTGCTTGATCCTACGTATAACGTAGAGACTTGAACTTAGCTTTTTGCAGAGCTGGTCTATGTGGGGTTTCCATGATAGCTTGGAGTCAATTATGATGCCTAGGTATTTTGTGGTATTTTGTGTTTGTAGTCCCGGTATTGTAATGTCTGTGTTGTTGCGTTTGGTGGTGAAAGTCATTTGAACGGTTTTGCTTTCGTTTAGAACTAGGTCGTTGGAGGTACAGTATTGCTTTGTTCTCTGGAGTTGTGTGTTGGTTTTCTCTTCCAGATTTTCCATTGTTTTGTCCGCAAATGTGAGAACCGTGTCATCTGCGTACATGGTGGTGTGTCCATCTTCCCCAATCCAACTAGGTAGGTCATTCGTGAGAAGGAGGAAAAGGACTGGGCCAAGTACTGATCCTTGGGGTACTCCTCTTTGCACGTCTACAGCTTTGGATTGGGCCTTATACTTTGTGTTGTTCTTTATGTAGGCTATTTCCACAAGCTGTTTCCGGTTACTAATGTAGCTTTTAAACCATTCTGCTGCTCTTCCTCTCACGCCTAGTGTTTCCAGCTTGAGTAGAAGGTTCGTGGTTTAGGCAGTCGAAAGCTTTACTAAAATCTAGGAAGAGGCTTGTTGAAGTGCTGCCTTCTTCTAGTTGGTCTAGTATGTGCTCCGTCAGTTGTATTAAGGCTGTGGCTGTCGATCTGCCATTGATGAATCCATGCTGTTGACTATTGAGAAGGTTGTGTTCTTGAAGATGGTGTAGGAGTTGGGCTAGTACTATCTTTTCGATTATTTTTGAAAATGTTGATATTAGGGAGATTGGCCTGTAGCTGTTTCTTTCTATCGTTGGTCCATTTTTGTATTTTGGGTAGACTTTAGCTATTTTTAATTTATCTGGGAATTTTCCTTGTGAGAGTGATTTATTTATGAGGTCTGTCAGGGGTATTACTATTTCATTTTTACAGTTTTTTAGAAGTTTAGCTGATACCTCATCAGTTCCGGATGAATTTTTCATCTTTAGAGATTGAATGGCCTTTTGCACTTCTTCTTGTGTGACCCGTCTGAACTGGAGTGTGTGATGTGTTGCTGGTAAGTGGTCTGTTAAGGCATTGGTTCTAGAGTTATTGTTATTTTGGAGTGTTCGGTCGGCTATTGATGAGAAAAAATCATTAAAACAGTTTGAAACTTCTATTGGGTCGTCTATTGTTTTATTGTTGACTTGAAGATGGATTTGGTTTTCAGTATTTGATCTCGCTTCTCTTTCTCGGTTTATTGTTTGCCACAGTGCTTTAGACTTGTTTTCAGCCTGGTTTATGTGAGCTGTGTTGTTTTCTTTCCGAAGCATTTTCAAATGCTGGTCGTACTCCCTTTTTTTAATAGTTGTTCTGGCTTTGTCTTCCATAAGTCTGGTTGTTTGTTCCTTTTCTAAGGCCTTTATATATTCATTTTTAAGTCTAGCCGATTCTTGATTCCAACACTGTCTCCTTTTATGTTGTTTAACTCTTGACGTTTTAAGAGGGCAGGCGTGGTTTAGTGTTGTCTGGATGATGTTGCTGAAATTGTTGTAGGCTTCATCTACGTCATGAGTTTGTATTATAGTTTCCCAGTCTTGTTCTTGTAGCTGTGTCTTAAAGTTATCTATTGTTGTTCTGTTGAAGATTCGTTTATTTTCTTTGATGTTGTTGATGATCGGTTTTCTAGTGATGATTTTTGCGATTTGTGCGGTATGGTCAGATAGTCCTGATGTTATAACTGAGGTTTCTATTTGTTGATTATCAATGTTTGAGCATATCCAGTCTATTGATGTTTCTGAGTCACTTGTAATTCGAGTGGGAGGTAGCCTCAGTCTTGAGATATTGAAGGAGGTTAGGAGTTCTTCAATTTTTTCGTTTTCATTGTCATCAACTAGGTTGTTTACATTGATGTCTCCCATTATTAATATTTGCTTATCCGTAGTGAGCACTGTTTCCAGTTGTTCAGAGAGTATATCGATGGCTTGGTCTAGGTTTGCACTTGGTGGCCTGTATACTCCGAGGACCAGCAGTGGATTCCTGTTTAGCTTCAGTTCAAAGAGCACAGTTTCGCAAATTAGTTCTGTTTCCTCGCTACTTGTGCATATGAGTGATACATGCTTTTCCCAGCCACTTCTTACATAAGCGACCACTCCTCCTTTGACATGGTCGCTTATGTAAGAAGTGGCTGGGAAAAGCATGTATCACTCATATGCACAAGAAGCGAGGAAACAGAACTAATTTATTTTCTGCCTTATTCTTTGTTGCTGACCAAGTTGACGGGTCATAACAGCTGCTATAGCTCATAATAAGTCGTTTCATCAGTTTGACTTGGTAAAAAACCGTTTATTTGACATACATTAGTAATTTAGATCAGCACAATCTGTCAGTGGCTCACATCAACTACTATGATTTTGATTAAAATTCTGGCTACAAATTTAACATGGGGATGGAATGACTAGTTGAATTAATAGTCAAAGATTTAATACTTTACTATTAAATTAAAACTGAAAGAAAAAATTAATTATTCTCACTAGTTTTTATATATAGCCAGGGGTAAAATCCGGAGCTAAAAATCCGGGGAGTACATTTTAAACTTACCTCATGAAAGGGGTTAAAGTTCGGGTATAAAATTCCGGCCAGTACACTCAAGGTTTTATAATTTGATGTGTTCTGATTAAATTCACAACCATGAAAATATACATTTAATTCCACCCTTAATTTATTGAACTGTTGTTGTGCAACCCAAAAGTTCGCAGCCTGAATTTTACCCCTGGTTTGTGACGTCAGTTTTGCTCAAGTGGTAAAATTTCACTACCCCGATTTCGCTACTACTGTGGGAAACGATAATAATGCCGTGATCACAGAATACAGTAACAATCACAGATTATAGTCATGATGATATAATTATTAACAGACGTTATATTCAATCAATATTCATTAGTTTAGCTGAATTAAAATACTTTTTCTTACTTTTTAAAGAATAATACTAACCATGTTTAAATCATTTACCTTCATAGTAGATCTGAGTGCCGTTTTTAACCATCGGCATAAGCTCATTGTAGAAGGACTCTAACTGGTTATAGCGAAGATCGAGGTGTTTCAACGTGTTGGTTTTCAGGATGGGTTTCAAAGGGAAAGTATGCAGAGAGTTGTGAGATAGAGACAGATAAGAGAGGTTTGTCGGGAGAATAAACACATTAGGAGCAATGACATCATCAATGAGATTGTGGGACAAATCCAACACTTGCAGAGATGTTAAGTTGCCAAGAACAGCTGAAACAAAGAGCAAAAATATCTAGCTCACATGCACACTAATGTCAGGAATATTCCTAGCCTAGGTCATACACTTATAAATGTGAGTGTCAGTTGTAGAACTATTGTAACAGACCTAACTATAAAATCAAAAACATCTAACATATCAATGCACTTTAGATGAAAAGAAGCAAAAATGTTTACATAACCAGGATTGTGTTGTATTGAATTTTGTATTCGGAACCTGTTCTTGCTGGCTGTATTGAGCTGGCATTATAGTTAAAACATCCAGTAATAGTGTTAACTAAAAGGGTGAATATACTACAGAACAACCCTAAATACAGGATGTTATCTAATAATGTTTATGCAAATGACACATTCATTGAAGGAAATACTTTGGAACTGAATCTGTGAATTGTCTTTGTCAGGATCTCTGATAGTAAAATATCGCAGATTCAGTATTGTTTTATCAGAATTATTTTCAACTTTTGGTAATTTTGGTGATTAATTATAAAAATTTTGATTGTCAACAAAACTGAAGGTCAAATTTCACTAAAAATCTATTATACTACATATACTTACACTTTCTAATCTATTATACTACATATACTTACACTTTCTAATCTATTATACTACATATACTTACACTTTCTAATCTCATTCACCATGTTGTGGCTGATATTTAAATAAAACAATGTTTTGGTTCCAAATGTTAGTTCATAGGTCAACACTGGCATTTCATTGAAACTCAAATCCAAATTACGGAGGCGGTAGGGGACCCACTGACTGCTCGGGAATGACTTACGAGTCAAGAACGATATTTTGTTGTGACTAATGTTGAGCTGTAAAATAAGAGTCACATAAAAAATAGAATAAACTTATATGCTGGATAACTAAATCTATTATATTTACGCTAACATTTTTCATGTATAATTTCATTACATGTATGATTAAGAATATGGTGCTGATTACCAGCGTATTGTAATTTAAAATATCTGAGGTCTAATGGACTATGTCTGTTTGAAGTCAAATTTAAATTTAAAAATAAAACTGCTGAAGCTTTGGTTCGGTTTTGGAATCCTAGTTATTGCTATCTGTTTTGGGTTATGGAGTCCAGGTAACCCACCGAAAAATGCATTTTAACCTGGGTAAATCTAAGTTTGGTTAATAAAGACTCTACTGTATACTAAAACCGTATAGTACATCTTCTAGAATAGGTACTCACATTTTCTAGGGACAAAAGATATTCAAATATGCTATTGGTTTTGTTGTCTAATGACTCTATTTGGTTATGAGACAGATCCAACGTCCTCAATGCGACAAGATCTGGAAAATAGATAGGATTACTCACAGGGTAGAGTTAACAGTTAAAAACTTACACCAAATATCATAGAGTTATTACTCTAGAAGTTAAAATACCTTGTCGCCAACGTAATCCTTGGTAGTCTTAATGGCTACCGGTTACGACAGACTTATGGTGTCAATGTCAAGCCTTAGACGTGGTTGTCGCTCCTAGGAGGTTGTCAAAAAGTCTTTAAAACACATATACGAGACGAATACACAACGAACATGAACATAACAAACATTTTTCCTAATAAATACTCTATGGCGATACAACTTATTAGGTACAATTGCAGGTCTAGACTTACCGTCGCCGTTTCCTTTTCATCCCCTCATACCCCTCGCACTGATGTTATCAGCTCCGTTGTCTTTTGATAATTTTTCTACGAATGAGGCTGCTTCGTAAATTATGACTGACTCAAAACCACTTTTTTTGTTGAAAATGTGTCTGGGGTTTTTTTTTCGGCCTTAAAAATCTCAAACTCTTTTTTTTCTTTTTTAATGTAAGTTGCTACCAGATCTATTAAAAAATATAAATGTTTGGTTTTCAATGCATTTCTATTTTCAAAAAATATTGAACAAGTAAGAAAAGGCCTAGTCATAACAATTGTATATTACAAGTTGTTCAAGGATTATTTAGGATTGAAAGGGTTAAAACGGATGTATAGGATCAATTATGATCATGTGTTTATACATCTAACAACTGAGGTGTATCCAAGATAAATAAGAGTAGTTTACCTCTAAACGCAGCACTTGAGATGGAGGTGATATTGTTTGAAGTAATGTTTAGCACGATGAGTTGCGTGAGTCCTTTGAAAGCATCACTATTCAACACTTCAATCTGGTTGTTTGCAAGATTGAGCACGGACACGATTGGTAACACACCAAACCCTTGCTTCTCCAGTTCAGTCACTTCATTATTCTGTAAAACATGACAAACATTATGTAGTCCTTATCAAGCTATAAAGCTTTGTTGATATGTTGTAATACCGTATTTGACTTACGGTTTGTTTATCTGCTTTTTATTTGGATACAAAACTAATTTTATGTAAAACGAGGAAAACATAGAAATGGGTCTACACTTCTCATTACTTCACCAGCAATATAAATTTATAACCTTTTCCGTCAATTCACTACCTCAAATTACTATATTAGGTTAGGTTAGGACTATGCTAATGGAAAAAGTCCGTAAACATAGTCCTAACCTAATCCAAACTAACCTAACCTAATATACTAATTAGTGGTAGTGAATTAATCAAAGTGATACTGAATTAGCGAAAAAGGTCATAAATTTTATTTTTAATATTTTTCAATGTGAACCTTATTTACAAGGCTTGTAAGGTTCCATGGAAATCAATATTATGAGTTGTTTTTATTTTACTGTTTTACCGCCTTATTATGCAATTTTTACAGCAGCCATACTGATTCTTCGACTTTAACTATATTGAATAATTGAAGTTTAAGAAAATGGACAGAAAGGGGTTGGAGGTGAGAATATTTTGTAAAATAAAAAGACATCAAGATTAATTGGTGGATTTGAATTGCCAACACGTATAAATACTTTTCCAGTCTTCTATCAAAACCATAAGTCCTGATACAGTTGTTGTGCCACTTTGTTTTGACTTTGACACCTTAAATTTACCTGCAGGTGCTGTTTTCAAGCCTTAATGTTGAAGTATTACATAGGCTATCACTAGAGTGATAACTTTAGGGCTACCTAATGAAAATACAAGACTCGTATCATAATAAAAGCAACTGATACAAATCAGCATAAATACCCAACCATTTTTACTAGGTAATTTATAACAAACTTTACCTCCATGTTCAAGTGTTGCAATGATGGAAGAGCACTCAGAGCCTCTTTAGGAGGGATCGAAATACCGTTGAAACTTAAATCCAAGCTCTGAAGTGTCAACAACGGGGAAAGACTTTCGCCGACTAAGTTGTCACCGATGGAGTTGAAGCTGAGATCCAGGGACAGCAAGGAGTTCATAGAAGGCCACTTGTTGGGAGTCTCGAATGAGATGAGGTTGTGACTGACGTCTAAATGAGACAGAGACTGAGGAATCTCAAACAACTCTGACAATAGGTTACCCTTCAATGACATAGTACGAAGAGAAGGTAGTCTCGTGAACGCTTGTCTGTTCAAACGAGACATTTGGTTGTAGCTGAGGTCCATGTGGAGGAGGGTCGGTAATGTTCCGAAGGTACCGGATTTGACCTCCTCAAGAGCGTTGTGGTCCAAGAGTAACGTCCGTAGACTAAACAGCGTCTGGAACACTGCGACTGCTATGTTGGAGATCTCGTTGTGACTGAGGTCGATCGTGTGAAGCTCGTACAGTTTGGGAAACGTGTTACGTGGCACCACTGCCAACTTGTTGTGACTAACGTTCAACACTTTAATGCCTGTCATGTTTGCCAACGGAACCTGGAAAGTTTAGTAATGTGAGTGAATTATTCACCAAACGTAAAGGTTAAGATTGTGTCAACTATTCTGGAGAGTGGGAGGGATGGGGGAAAGTCTTTCCATTTCAACACTCAGAGTCACACACCACCAGACAGTTAGTAGTGGTATTAAATTAATCAAACAGCAATTAACTCTTTAAGATGACTGTAAAAATAACAACAGTGACGGTGGTGGGGAAGAGTGTTTGGGTGTGTCCACATTATGCTCGCCACTCTAACTGACACAACTTATCTTTATTTAATTTTTTAGTTGGGCTAGGCAATATGAAATAATGAGTTTATTCCTTCAAAACAAATAAATACAAAATAATACATTCACTTGGAACTACGTTGCCACATTATCCAGTAATCGTGACAAACGTAAAACAAAAAATTAAACAAAATATACTTCTTACAGGTTTATACATTTTCTTTTATTAGTACTAGATCCTTGTTGAGACTTATTTAGTTTTCAGGGGGACCATTACAAATATCCAAAGAAGAATGGCAAAGCACTTGTACATTTATCTATAAGCACTGACGCTATTTGCTAATAAACTTGAGTAAGATGATGCAACATTTTAATTTAACACTATTTCAACTCCTAAAATCTTCAAGATTTATCGATGAGATTCAAACAAAAAAGTTTATTAACTTTAACTTTAGCAAAACGATTTCATATTAACAACGATCTAAAATTGTTTGTATGTGAGCTGTGGTAATATCATACTAAACATTATGGATTTGTTTTAGAACAATAAATATAAACTAAATTTTCAATTTATACCTCAACAATTGTTATTTTCAATGGATAAGAAGTATTTACACTATACTGACTACTTTAACAAAATTGTATACTTCTAAACATATTTCAAATAGAGTTCTAATTAAATTCAAACACATAAACTTAGAGGAGTATTCTGCCTAATTATTTTTAACACCATCTTAAGCAAACTTTCAGGCTTTTCAAGTTTTAACATTTTACTACCTGTTTATGTTAAAAGCAGTATTTTGATTCAACAACTCCTTTATTTTAAAGGGCATGGTGAAATTTACACATACGCTGAACATTAATCAGTAGATGAACTGATTTTACTTACTTGAGAGAGATCTGTCAGATCATTGTAGGAAAGTTGTAGTTCAGTCGCGTAGGTGATTTCATCAAATCCGTTTTTGGGAATATCTGCTATTTTGTTGTGAGACATATCCAACACGGTAATGTTTGCACAATTATCAAAAGCGTTTGATTCAATCTTGTTTATGGCATTGTGTGACAAGTTTATATGTACCAGATACAGTTCTTTGAAAGCGTGTTTCTGGATGTTCGTTACAAGATTTGAGGAAACATCGATCACCTGAAAAAGATAAAAGTATTTTAGATACAATTATCAACTACTGAAAAAAATTTACTCACATAGGCTAATTTCTATCCTCTTTTATAAACTCAAACTCTTTATTTGCCATAAAAAACATTACAAATTTGAGCATAGCTCACGTAACAGATGGCATGTCAATTATAACTAGAGTGTAAATTAATTATTACAATTAATTACAATTACAATTATTACAATTAATTATTAAAAAATCAAATATAATGGATAAGATATAGTCTAACAAAATGAGAATATATACAGTACAACACCCCTTAAAAAAAATCGTCCACTTTATAAGGACATGTTGCAGCTAGATGAGTTTCCAGTTTTTTTTCTTTTTTTATCTCTGGTGGAAGGTGATTAAACAGTTTAATATGGACCCTTTTCCAAAAGAGACAATCTATGTTTAGGGTACCGCAGAGTGTCTGTGTTTCTTGTACCCTGAGTCCCCAGACTGTTATTTGAAAAATATTGTTGATGTTTTTTAAAGAATTTCAGAACTTCAAAAATATAAAGAGCTAGTACAGTTAATAGTTTAGAATTTTTGAAATATTGTTTACATGATTTTCTAAATTTTAGTTTAAACATTGCTCGAATGGCCTCTTTTTGTAACTTGAATATCTTGTCAAGTACTGATGTCCCACCCCAAAGGATGATGCTGTACCTAACAATTGATAAAAAATAACCATGATAAACCTGAAGACATGTCTTTATATCTGAGATGTTTATTATCTCCAAAGCTATCCAAGTATTTTTATTTCCTCATTTAATACTTAATAATTGGAATATGTTTCAAATTTCTGTGATGGTGGTGAAGAATTAAATGAAAACATAACAAGCAATACACTTAAAAAAATGTATGACAGTATTTATTTAATAATTTACTGATTTACTTTAAACTTAGGCCTAGCCAAATTTTAGCCTAAATAATTTTTTTAATGGAAAAGTTGCATTCAAAATATGTATTGAAAGTACAGTAGAACCTCGATAGTTTGACACTTGTGGACTTAAGGGATGTCGAACTATCGAAATGTCAAACTATAGGGAGTAAATGGAGTTTAATACACGAGAAAGTAAAAAAGGCTTATATAGAAACCCAAATTTATTAAATACTAAAAAGCTTAACAATTAATATCACTGTTCATTAGTTAAGTCTCAAGTCAATATTAAATGACAAATGATGTTTAAGTTAGCTTACATCACAATAGTAACCTAACCATTAAATATCAATTGACAAAATAGCTCAGCCCATGTCGAACTACAAGGAGTGTCGAACTATCGAAGGTTTACTGTACAAAATTATTTGATTCGGAAAAATGGATGATTTTGGGTGCGATTGAATTCAGAAGCAGGAATCAAGGTTTAACGTATGTGATACAATATTAATTAAATTACTAACACATAAAAAGTTTTTCATACTTGTAGTAATATAATGAAAGAGGACTATTGATTGATTTACCATCACATATTAGTCAGATAGTTCTATGCTGTGTTTGCTTAGTTCAATAGAGCACACACATTAGAGGGGTTTCACCCTGCCAAAGGTGTTATAGATCCTAAACAATGTTGTTTCCAAAAATTAGCCTTATAATATCACCTCACCATACAATCTGCACAATATATACTTTGCCATAATCCCTTCTGCAACTTTAGTCTTGTACATTGTATGTATCTCAAACATTACTTCATTGTAGTATACGTCACAAGATAAGTTTAAAATTAATACCCTGGAAGAACCTAAGATATATAGAGCCGTTATTAAATCAGACAAGGACAATGTTTTAAATGACTAACTTTATTTTAGTTGAAACAGCATCTACAACACCGCAATAGAAATACTGGAGAGGGGAGGGGAGGACAGATACAATGGAACCGGCGAGTGATAAGGAAATGTGTGTGATATCTGACCAGCTGTGTATCATACAGTCTAGACTCAACTCCCGCATTAATAACACCAGTCCGCTCGTCGTGTTAACGATTTAATTTTATCGGCCGTATGTGTGTGCGTGCTATGTGTTTGTCTATGTGTATATGTCAAAAACTTTTAATCCTAACGACCTTCATGTGAAGTAAGCATCCTTGTACTCACCTGATGAAGATCTCTTAGCAGATTGAAACTAGTTGTGAACACAAAAATGGGATTGCCTGAATCAGCTATTTAAACCATTATTACCAGTTACTAATTATCAGGTCAAACATTACACTAAACCTTACAAATCTAAGATACATACACTACAGCACTTGCCTCAACGTATTGTAGCTTATTGAACATTTGAAAATCAATCTTTTTTATACGATTCCGTGCAAGGTCGATAGTTCCAATTCTACCAAGGCTGTCGAATGTTCCTCGACCAACGTCAGTAATGTTGTTGTCGCTCAGGTAGAGCCGACGAATCAGACGCATACCACGGAATGAGTTAGAGTCCAACTTGCGCAGTTTGTTGTGACTGAGGTTCAGGGAGCGAAGCACAGCGTTTCGAGCAAACGCTCCCCTAGGAAAAAGTCTCTTTTAAAATCGTAATTTAATTTGTACTTATAAAATTACATTATTTTTCTCTTTTCAACAAATTTAAATACACCATCAATTTTTAAGAAAGTAAAAGTGTTTTATGTCAGTGATGTAAAATACCCAGGTATAAATATAATTATAAGTCCGGGTAAATATCTATTTTTCATAAGTAGGTACCCGAATATTTATCATTATTCAGCTATTTGTTCAAACAAAGTTAAATTTAGTATTTTTCCTTTATAACAGGCAACTAACAACTAGGCAATTAAGAAATATTTTCTGAATTAGGCACATTAGGTGTTGTCAAGATTATTTTTTAGACTTTTTTTGCCAACTTCATAACACAATAACAATGCATGTAAATTCACTTTCTACAAAAATGTAACACATGCGAATAAGTAGGCATGAATAAAAGGATTCAGTATTTTGTATTTAGGACATACATTGTACGTAGGCCTACTCTTTTGTAAACATTTAAGTTTTTTAAGCTATACAAATTTTATAGTTATTAAATTAAGTTTTTTAAGCTATACAAATTTTATAGTTATTAAATTAAACATAATGTTTTACAATTGGTCCTCCAGAAAATCTTTAAAAACAGTCAGTTAGGTATGAAAATCATAAATACTCGGTTTAGATCCATAATTAACTAGATGTGTGGGTATTTATAGCGAGTTTGAGTTTTTATTTTTAATTCACTATACAGTATAGGCCATCATGACATGACAAATCCATTGAACCATACAAAACACTTCATTTTCCATCCCAGTTTGAAGAATTTGACTTATATTAGATAAACTTGATGTTGTAGCCTGTAGTTCTTAAGTAAGTAAGATGTTGTGTTAATGCATAGGGTAACACAAACAAGTTACTTACTCAAGAAGTACAGGCTATAACAACAAAGGTAATCTGATATACGAAACACTGCTATTAGTTTTTGTTTTTATAAATATCCACACTTTTGGATATTCACCTAGGCCGGGGGCAAACAACCATTAATTAACAACCTACCCAATGGCTATTTATCCGGCCCACATCACTATTTGCACATAATGTAAAGTTTAAAAGAAAAGTAAACGCAGACTTTATTTTTAATCACAAAATGAAACATAGATCTTCTAGTAGGTACTTGTTTGGCAGTGGGCCTAAAGATATATTTAATGTATTCTGTTGTTTTACCTGGTCACCTCAGGCAAGGCGTTGTGTGACAAGTTACACCAACCCATCTTGATGAGGTCAGACATGTGCGTTCCATCCACTTTTGTAAGATTGTTATACGACAAGTCTAAAAATTCGGTGTCCCGAAGCCCCTTGAACTGCCCCTTTTTCAACGTTGAGATTGAATTGTTATGGAGGTCTAGACGCTTCAGTTTCTGACAACTGGTAAGAGTTTCTGCCGGAAACTCCTCCAAAGGTCCATTGACAATCGTTAGACGCTGCAACTGACTTGGCACACTAGTTGAGCTGAAGGAATCTTTCTCTAACTTTTTCATTTTATGGCCATCTATGTTGAGTGCAGTAAGATTTCCTAAATTCTGCAAAAAAATTAGAATATTCAAGTGATTCTAAACAAATGTCTCAATAAAACTTGAACTAAATAAGTTCTAATGCAAGAAATTTATATTTATCTATTTACAATCATCACATTTCTTGAGTGGTGATTCGTCATAAATTATTTATAATACTACAATTAATAATCCACACAATCTAAAAAAATCTAGTAGGCTAATCTATAAAAACTTATAGGAGAAGTAATACCTTTTAAATTCACACATGTTCCAAGTGTGTTTCTAATGAGTAAAATAAATGCCCTCTTCAAAAGAATTTTCAGAGATAATTTGAATTTAGAGGAGCCAATGTTCTTAACACCCTAACAGCGTGTGGGCCACTGGCTTCCCATCGCGGTCCTGCGGAACATGCAAATGGGTTTCTCAACCAACTTGCCTAACAACAAGAGCTAAGTATGAGCTCAGGTTCATTTTGAGGAGGGTGATATTTTGTACGCCTGGAGAAAAATTCTTCTCAGTTTATTTATTTATTTATTTATTTATTTATACCAACGGTCAAACCAATACATAAATATGACAAAACTTATATAAGACTAAAAAAAAATAGACATTTTTGATGAAATTTTAGCCAACTTGAAGTACATTCAATAAATAGATTAACAATGATAACAGAAAGATATAAGATATAAAAAGATATAAGAAATAACAAGGTATAGATATAACAAGATATAGATATAACAAGATGATATAACGATATCATCACGACGATATGCTCATGGTCGGCATCCCATGATTAGATGACGTCACTTCCTCCTAAGTTTATATTTATATACATTTTTTTTTTACTGAATAAGTGTTCTGTATTGATATTCAATATAAATTTCATAACAAAACATTTCATGTCTGCCCAAAAGATTTGTAAATTTTATTAGCAGTCAATGATATTAAGTTAGGCTATAGCTTGTTATTTGTTATAAATCTTTTTCCCCTTATAGTGTAGAGATAAACGAAAGATTTTAAATCTATGTTGAACCGGTTTTATGAAGTGTTTGAATCTTGTATTATACTCAGTACAGTACCAGTGATCTTTATTCTATTTGTAGACCTATGTGAAAGACAATGTATGTAAAAAACGTTTTAACCTATTTTACTTAAAGTAATACTGTATTAAGCTCTTAACTTAATATTACTTAAGTTAGTAGTATTTAATAGTACTTAAGATGAAGAAGACTTGGTTTTCATAAGCGTAGTTGACTCATTTGGGACACACGAACTTGTGTAGTTTTAGGAATCTGGGTTTAATTGCCAAGTTGTAAATGAGCCTTAAGATAGTGTTGATATATTTACCTTAAAGGCTTGTTTTGGGAAGTCTTCTAGAGCGGAGTTGACGATGTGGAGCTCTTGCAACGTTCGGTTCACTCCAAGGAATGAGAAAGGTTCGATTGTTCTGATTGGTGTGTCTGAGATCTTCAGTATTCGGACCTTCAACGGATACAGCAGATCCCCGTAGAGATGGGCTGAAGTCAAATTAGAAATTTTACAATGTAGTAACTCCAACATTATAGGTTTTGTAACAGCTGTTTGTTGGATGTAGAGTAATTGTGAATTTCCATTGTGGGAATGTTATAAGGGTTGGCTCTGAGTGTAGCATTTGGGGGGGTAAAGAATACATTATTTTCAAGAAAAGAAAAGCAAGAGAATGCCATTTATCATGTTTCTCTTACTACAAGACCACGGACTTTAATAAAGTTTTTGGCCTTGAAACATTGTTAAACATGAAATCAAAATAATCCTAGCTTATTCCTTTAAGATTATATTGATTTTAAAACCTTATAATTTTTAGAAAATATCAGTAGGCCTAAATGAATCTTTGCTTTTCTTATATTTTCTTACCTTGCTAAAACATAGGTCTACTTTAAATCATGCTAACAGCACAAATTCAATTGGTTCCAAATCACTAGATTTGGCCATTAAAATGTTGTCAGTTATCAATTGAGAAAATGTTTAATGGAGTTTTTAAAAACATGGTTTAAAAGTTGCCTATACTAAATATCCAAATATTTAATAAAATCTTCATCCACAATACTAACCAAAGTTACTAGATGTTATGGTTAACTCTTCTATCGGCACATTTAAACTTCCAAGGTTGGCTAGGCCGATGGAGAGTGATGCGAGGTTAGTCTTTGTGCAGACGACGTACAAACCAGCGTCTGAGCCAGCGACACATGAGCACGGGTAGAGGAACTGTGGTTGTTGCGGACACGGATATCGAGGTCCTGGCGGAATGTAGCCTGCCAGCGACAATGAGAACAACGTCACCAGCACAGGCCTAGAAAAGGTATCATTCTGCATTACTGGCTTAGAATTAAAGTAATGAAAAATATATAGTATTATTTATGATGTTATTGATTGGGGCAGAGTTCACTCTCAAACCTATCAACTACAACTTAAAACAGAGGCTTCTTGGGTTGCTATTCCAGTTTATTGGAAAAAGTTACAGTAGCCTATTAACAATTACTTAGCCTATCTAACAACTTTTTCTCCCTGCTGAGTTAACAATAACTAAATTTTACCTTAGGCAAACACGGTATGTGTTGCTTCTACTTAAACATCTTTTAAAAATCAAGTGATTAACTGTTAAATATAACGATTGGGTTGAGATGCAAGTCTATTGCACAACTAGGTAGCCTGCAACTGTGCTGTACCATCGAGAGAATGATACAGTGAGCCATAGGCGACAAATAAGCTGTTAGCTCCTGATTTCATAATGCAAGATTATAACCTAACGTTATCAAATTTTGACTTTGCAAGAACGAATTGAATTGCAAGAACGCATATGTGCTCGCTGGCCCATATGAATGAAACATTTAGTACTATTGCAGTAGCGAACGGTTGAAGGCTTAACACTACAAGTGTTTAACCTACAAGTAATCTGCTTTCTCCAAACTTCTAGGTCTATATCTAGCATTGGCTTTAAGATGCAAAAAGGCTTCTTTCCAGTAATCAACCAATCCAAGGACTCACAAACTGTGAGGCTGTTTGCATTTAGACTGTTTAACCTACAAGTAATATGCTTTCTCCAAACTTCTAGGGCTATATCTAGCATTGGCTTTAAGATGCAAAAGGGCTTCTTTCTAGTTATCATCCAATCCAAGGACTCACAACTGTGAGGCTGTTTGCATTTAGCCTACCTTTTTATGACATAATTAGTATGAAGTACATGTGAGAGGCTCATTTATATTAGACCTTAAGAGATTACCTATAGTTAAAATTTTCACAGGATAGGCCTAATGTAAGCCTAGCCATATAGGCCTACGCTTGTTTCTTTGTTAGCCTATCCAAACTTTGAAAATATAATTGTGACCACTAGTCATAACAGTTTTAATATAAAACACTACAGTAAACTATCTACTATCGGTAAATTTATACCTTGAAAAGAGAATGTGATTTGATAAGGAGGACCAATAGTCCAATACTGATCAGCGTGAAACTGGCAATAGAACAGCAATAACCCATTCCACTTCTCCTACCGCCCCTCCGACGAATATACGTCACAGTAAAACGTCACAACAATGATGGCGTCACAGCAGGATTCGTCACAAAGCAGCTGACATAACCTCCAAAATATCAAGTGGCGGGAACTTTTTTTGGCGAAACACGGCAAAGATGGTGTTTGGCGGTACACGCACAGCGTTGATTATGAAGGTTGACTAATATGTATGTATAAAACTGTACAATACGCTGAATGAAATTAAACTACTATTTCATTATTTAGAGAATAAAGGACAATATTAAAGACGTTTGAGGTTATTTAAAGTAGTAACCACCCTCAATTTTTTCCAAATGATAAAATTATTAACTGACTACCATAAAAACCTATTGCTGGCATCTCCCCTTAAGTTTTTCTCTCGTTTTTCTTTTGATACATGTTAAACACATGGTTATGAACAAAAAATGACGTATTCAAGGTTAGCCCACTCTTTACTAGTGTAGCTATGTAGCCTGGAATGCACTTCATGTGACCTTGATTGCACGACGACGCTATTACTAAAATTCATGTTTTATATGTCTATTTACATTATGTAGAGCATATTGCACAACACTAAGCACTTTTTAGCTAATTAAGTAGTTACCGCATCGATTTGAATCCAAATGAAAAATTACCTAAAATTACTATTTGACTACCATAAAAACCTATTGCTGGCAATTCCCCTTAAATTTTTCTTCAGTTTTTCTTTTGATACGCGTTAAACACATGGTTATGAACAAAAAATTGCCTCTTCTAGGTTAGCCCACTCTTTAATAAGGTAGCTATGTATCCTGGAATGCACTTCGTGTTACCTCGGTTGCACGCCGATGCTATTACAAAAATGTATGTTCTAAATGTCTATTTACATTATTTATCTGGTATTGAACAATACTGGGCACTTTTAAGCTTATTAATGTAGAAATCACCTTGATATTAATACAAACTAATAAACTACCTAAAATTACTAATTATCGTAAAAACCTATTGCTGGCATCTCCTCTTAAATTTTTTTCTCGTTTTTCTTTTGATATGTGTTAAACACATTGTTATGAACATAAAATGACGTAGTATAGGTTAGCCCACTTTTTAGTAGTGTAGCTATGCAGCCTGGAATGGACCTCATAATAGAATAATAAATTACCATAAATTTCTATTGCTGGCCTATCCCTTTGGCACGATTTTCTTTATTCTTTCAAAATATGTTTATTACATCATTACGAACTAGAAAACACGTCGCCTAGGTTAGCCCACTCCTTTATAGTTGAGATAGGCCATTTTGATTGTAGCTGGTGTGACCTCGGTTCCATAAGAACCTAATGTACTAAAAATCAACTTTTTCGTTTATACAAGTTAGTTACACCTTTATAAACAATCCCTAACACCATTTCGATAAAAAATATTATTATTTATAAATTTAATGCATTATTTAAAATCTGCCTCAATAGAACAATAAATTACCATAAATTTCTATTGCTGGCCTATCCCTTTGGCACGATTTTCTTTATTCTTTCAAAATATGTTTATTACATCATTACAAACTAGAAAACATGTCGCTTATGTTAGCCCACTCCTTTATAGTTGAGATAGGCCATTTTGATTGTAGCTGGTGTGACCTCGGTTCCATAAGAACCTAATTTACTAAAACTCAACTTTTTTCGTTTATACATGTTAGTTACACCTTTATAAACAATACCTAACACCATTTCGATAAAAAATATTATTATTTATCAATTTAATGCATTATTTAAAATCTGCCTCAATAGAACAATAAATTACCATAAATTTCTATTGCTGGCCTATCCCTTTGGCACGATTTTCTTTATTCTTTCAAAATATGTTTATTACATCATTACGAACTAGAAAACATGTCGCTTATGTTAGCCCACTCCTTTATAGTTGAGATAGGCCATTTTGATTGTAGCTGGTGTGACCTCGGTTCCATAAGAACCTAATTTACTAAAACTCAACTTTTTTCGTTTATACATGTTAGTTACACCTTTATAAACAATACCTAACACCATTTCGATAAAAAATATTATTATTTATCAATTTAATGCATTATTTAAAATCTGCCTCAATAGAACAATAAATTACCATAAATTTCTATTGCTGGCCTATCCCTTTGGCACGATTTTCTTTATTCTTTCAAAATATGTTTATTACATCATTACGAACTAGAAAACATGTCGCTTATGTTAGCCCACTCCTTTATAGTTGAGATAGGCCATTTTGATTGTAGCTGGTGTGACCTCGGTTCCATAAGAACCTAATTTACTAAAACTCAACTTTTTTCGTTTATACATGTTAGTTACACCTTTATAAACAATACCTAACACCATTTCGATAAAAAATATTATTATTTATCAATTTAATGCATTATTTAAAATCTGCCTCAATAGAACAATAAATTACCATAAATTTCTATTGCTGGCCTATCCCTTTGGCACGATTTTCTTTATTCTTTCAAAATATGTTTATTACATCATTACGAACTAGAAAACATGTCGCTTATGTTAGCCCACTCCTTTATAGTTGAGATAGGCCATTTTGATTGTAGCTGGTGTGACCTCAGATCCATAAGAACCTAATTTACTAAAACTCAACTTTTTTCGTTTATACATGTTAGTTACACCTTTATAAACAATACCTAACACCATTTCGATAAAAAATATTATTATTTATCAATTTAATGCATTATTTAAAATCTGCCTCAATAGAACAATAAATTACCATAAATTTCTATTGCTGGCCTATCCCTTTGGCACGATTTTCTTTATTCTTTCAAAATATGTTTATTACATCATTACGAACTAGAAAACACGTCGCCTAGGTTAGCCCACTCCTTTATAGTTGAGATAGGCCATTTTGATTGTAGCTGGTGTGACCTCGATTCCATAAGAACCTAATTTACTAAAAATCAACTTTTTCGTTTATACATGTTAGTTACACCTTAATAAACAAACCCTAACACCATTTCGATAAAAAATATTATTATTTATCAATTTAATGCATTATTTAAAATCTGCCTCAATAGAACAATAAATTACCATAAATTTCTATTGCTGGCCTATCCCTTTGGCACGATTTTCTTTATTCTTTCAAAATATGTTTATTACATCATTACGAACTAGAAAACACGTCGCCTAGGTTAGCCCACTCCTTTATAGTTGAGATAGGCCATTTTGATTGTAGCTGGTGTGACCTCGGTTCCATAACGACCTAATTTACTAAAACTCAACTTTTTTCGTTTATGAACATAAACTCTATGAACATAAAATGACGTAGCCTAGGTTAGCCCACTCTTTAGTAGTGTTGCTATGTAGCCTGGAATTGACCTCATGTGGCCTCGGTTGCACGACGACGCTATTACACAACTTAATGTTTTATATGTCTTTTTACATTATTTAGCTGGTATTGAACAATAGTAGGCACCTTTTAGCTTATTGAAGAAGAAACTACCTCGATTTTAATCCAAAATTAAAAAATTACCTAAAATTACTAACTGGCTACCACAAAAACCTATTGCTGGCATCTCCTGTTAACTTTTTTTCTAATTTTTCTTTTGATATTTGTTAAACACATGGTTATGAACAAAAAATGACGTAGTATAGGTTAGCTCACTCTTTAGTAGTGTAGCTAAACAGCCTGGAATGGACTTCATGTGACCTCGGTTGCACGACGATGCTATTACTCAAATTTTTGTTTTATATGTCTATTTACATTATTTAGAGGGTAATGAACAATACTAAGCAGTTTTTAGCTAATTAAAGTGGTAACCACCCTGATTTTAACCTAAATTGAAAAATTAACTAAAATTACTAACTGATTACCATAAAAACCTATTGCTGGCATCTCCTCTTAAATTTTTTTCTCGTGTTTCTTTTGATATGTGTTAAACACATTGTTATGAACAACAAATGACGTCATTTGTTGTTCATAACAATGTGTTTAACACATATCAAAAGAAACACGAGAAAAAAATTTAAGAGGAGATGCCAGCAATAGGTTTTTATTGTAGTCAGATTTAGTAATTTTAGGTATTTTTTCATTAGGATTACAATCAAGGTGGTTTCTACTTTAATAAGCTTAAAAGTGCCTTGTATTGATCAATACCATCTAAATAATGTAAATATACATATAAAACTTTAATTTGTGTAATAGCGTCGTAGTGCAACCGAGGTCACATGAGGTCCATTCCAGGCTGTATAGCAACACTACTAAGGAGTGGGCTAACCTAGGCTACGTCATTTGTTGTTCATAACAATGTGTTTAACACATATCAAAAGAAACACGAGAAAAAAATTTAAGAGGAGATGCCAGCAATAGGTTTTTATGGTAGTCAGTTAGTATTTTAGGCAAATTTTCAATTAAGGTAAAAATCAAGGTTGTTACTACTTTAATTAGCTAAAAACTGCTAAGTATTAATCATTACCCTCTAAATAATGAAAATAGACATATAAAACATTAATTTGTGTCATAGCGTCGTCGTGCAACCGAGGTCACATGAGGTCCATTCCAGGTTGCATAGCAACACTACTAAAAAGTGGGCTAACCTATAACACGTCATTTTATGTTCATAACAATGTGTTTAACACATATCAAAAGAAAAACAAGAAAAAATTTAAGAGGAGATGCCAGCAATAGGTTTTTATGGTAATCAGTTAGTAATTTTAGGTAATTTTTTAATTTTGGATTAAAATCGAGGTAGTTTCTTCTTCAATAAGCTAAAAGGTGCCTACTATTGTTCAATACCAGCTAAATAATGTAAAAAGACATATAAAACATTAAGTTGTGTAATAGCGTCGTCGTGCAACCGAGGCCACATGAGGTCAATTCCAGGCTACATAGCAACACTACTAAAGAGTGGGCTAACCTAGGCTACGTCATTTTATGTTCATAGAGTTTATGTTCATAAACGAAAAAAGTTGAGTTTTAGTAAATTAGGTCGTTATGGAACCGAGGTCACACCAGCTACAATCAAAATGGCCTATCTCAACTATAAAGGAGTGGGCTAACATAAGCGACGTGTTTTCTAGTTCGTAATGATGTAATAAACATATTTTGAAAGAATAAAGAAAATCGTGCCAAAGGAATAGGCCAGCAATAGAAATTTATGGTAATTTATTGTTCTATTGAGGCAGATTTTAAATAATGTATTAAATTGATAAATAATAATATTTTTTATCGAAATGGTGTTAGGTATGGTTTATTAAGGTGTAACTAACATGTATAAACGAAAAAAGTTGAGTTTTAGTAAATTAGGTTCTTATGGAACCGAGGTCACACCAGCTACAATCAAAATGGCCTATCTCAACTATAAAGGAGTGGGCTAACATAAGCGACGTGTTTTCTAGTTCGTAATGATGTAATAAACATATTTTGAAAGAATAAAGAAAATCGTGCCAAAGGGATAGGCCAGCAATAGAAATTTATGGTAATTTATTGTTCTATTGAGGCAGATTTTAAATAATGTATTAAATTGATAAATAATAATATTTTTTATCGAAATGGTGTTAGGTATGGTTTATTAAGGTGTAACTAACATGTATAAACGAAAAAAGTTGAGTTTTAGTAAATTAGGTTCTTATGGAACCGAGGTCACACCAGCTACAATCAAAATGGCCTATCTCAACTATAAAGGAGTGGGCTAACATAAGCGACGTGTTTTCTAGTTCGTAATGATGTAATAAACATATTTTGAAAGAATAAAGAAAATCGTGCCAAAGGGATAGGCCAGCAATAGAAATTTATGGTAATTTATTGTTCTATTGAGGCAGATTTTAAATAATGCATTAAATTGATAAATAATAATATTTTTTATCGAAATGGTGTTAGGGATTGTTTATTAAGGTGTAACTAACATGTATAAACGAAAAAGTTGATTTTTAGTAAATTAGGTTCTTATGGAACCGAGGTCACACCAGCTACAATCAAAATGGCCTATCTCAACTATAAAGGAGTGGGCTAACCTAGGCGACGTGTTTTCTAGTTCGTAATGATGTAATAAACATATTTTGAAAGAATAAAGAAAATCGTGCCAAAGGGATAGGCTAGCAATAGAAATTTATGGTAATTTATTGTTCTATTGAGGCAGATTTTAAATAATGCATTAAATTGATAAATAATAACATTTTTTTATCGAAATGGTGTTAGGTATTGTTTATTAAGGTGTAACTAACATGTATAAACGAAAAAAGTTGAGTTTTAGTAAATTAGGTTCTTATGGAACCGAGGTCACACCAGCTACAATCAAAATGGCCTATCTCAACTATAAAGGAGTGGGCTAACATAAGCGACATGTTTTCTAGTTTGTAATGATGTAATAAACATATTTTGAAAGAATAAAGAAAATCGTGCCAAAGGGATAGGCCAGCAATAGAAATTTATGGTAATTTATTGTTCTATTGAGGCAGATTTTAAATAATGCATTAAATTTATAAATAATAATATTTTTTATCGAAATGGTGTTAGGGATTGTTTATTAAGGTGTAACTAACTTGTATAAACGAAAAAGTTGATTTTTAGTACATTAGGTTCTTATGGAACCGAGGTCACACCAGCTACAATCAAAATGGCCTATCTCAACTATAAAGGAGTGGGCTAACCTAGGCGACGTGTTTTCTAGTTCGTAATGATGTAATAAACATATTTTGAAAGAATAAAGAAAATCGTGCCAAAGGGATAGGCCAGCAATAGAAATTTATGGTAATTTATTATTCTATTATGAGGTCCATTCCAGGCTGCATAGCTACACTACTAAAAAGTGGGCTAACCTATACTACGTCATTTTATGTTCATAACAATGTGTTTAACACATATCAAAAGAAAAACGAGAAAAAAATTTAAGAGGAGATGCCAGCAATAGGTTTTTACGATAATTAGTAATTTTAGGTAGTTTATTAGTTTGTATTAATATCAAGGTGATTTCTACATTAATAAGCTTAAAAGTGCCCAGTATTGTTCAATACCAGATAAATAATGTAAATAGACATTTAGAACATACATTTTTGTAATAGCATCGGCGTGCAACCGAGGTCACACGAAGTGCATTCCAGGATACATAGCTACCTTATTAAAGAGTGGGCTAACCTAGAAGAGGTAATTTTTTGTTCATAACCATGTGTTTAACGCGTATCAAAAGAAAAACTGAAGAAAAATTTAAGGGGAATTGCCAGCAATAGGTTTTTATGGTAGTCAAATAGTAATTTTAGGTAATTTTTCATTTGGATTCAAATCGATGCGGTAACTACTTAATTAGCTAAAAAGTGCTTAGTGTTGTGCAATATGCTCTACATAATGTAAATAGACATATAAAACAAAAATTTGAGTAATAGCATCGTCGTGCAACCGAGGTCACATGAAGTCCATTCCAGGCTGTTTAGCTTCACTACTAAAGAGTGAGCTAACCTATACTACGTCATTTTTTGTTCATAACCATGTGTTTAACATGTATCAAAAGAAAAACGAGAGAAAAACTTAAGGGGAGATGCCTGCAATAGGTTTTTATGGTAGTCAGTTAATAATTTTATCATTTGGAAAAAATTGAGGGTGGTTACTACTTTAAATAACCTCAAACGTCTTTAATATTGTCCTTTATTCTCTAAATAATGAAATAGTAGTTTAATTTCATTCAGCGTATTGTACAGTTTTATACATACATATTAGTCAACCTTCATAATCAACGCTGTGCGTGTACCGCCAAACACCATCTTTGCCGTGTTTCGCCAAAAAAAGTTCCCGCCACTTGATATTTTGGAGGTTATGTCAGCTGCTTTGTGACGAATCCTGCTGTGACGCCGTCATTGTTGTGACGTTTTACTGTGACGTATATTCGTCGGAGGGGCGGTAGGAGAAGTGGAATGGGTTATTGCTGTTCTATTGCCAGTTTCACGCTGATCCAATACTGTACCAAGGACCTTCAACTAATAGATATAAAATAAAAGATTATTTAAAAGATGACAATATACTTATATAAACTATTGATTTGAGTCAGGTACCAAAGATATTATTGTCAATCTAATTAACTTACCAAATAAACACATTCATCATTCTCTAACGTTAAAGTCACTCAGTTTAGAAAAGGAAAAGCCCATTATTCTGTTTTATTTCCTACCTACGAGTCTTAACCTCAAAAACTACTGAGAGAAATTTCGAAATGGCAGCTGCAGACAACCAAACATACATATGGTATTGGCTTTACCTTTTTTTGCCTTAGTTCATATATCTAAGGACATGTCAGTGGAAAAGTTATATATTATAGTAATAGTATGCCTATAACAAATTAAGTACATTATCCCCCAATTTTCATTCACTAAACGCACCATTAAAAACCATGTTAAATACAACATATTAACTATTTATCTAAGTACTGTAGCTCTTATTCGTGTGTTGAAGTATTTGCACACATTTAATATTTTCTAATTTTACCATAGGCATAGGTTTAACATGTAATAGTTCGTGCATATTAGTAGTGCCATTGAGTATAAACCTAACCTTGAGCACAGAAAACGTACTACTATAGTAGTACGTTTTCTGTGCCTTGAGTTAGGTTTATACTCAATGGTAGTGCTGACTATGTATATTATTTTATTTATAGTTTCGTTACCTTTTAGTTTAATAAAATAGCAGTGATTATTGTTGCCAAACCTCTACCTGCAAATTGTATTCCTACTTACTCAAATGTAAAATGACACATTGCCGTAAATAAATAAATACCCTCGCCACACAGCAAACCTGCAGACTAAGCGAATTTCCATTTGCCTGTTTTGATTTTCATAAATGTATTTAAACATTAGGTTTAACGAGTACCTATAGGTTCGCTGCTACAGGGAGGGTAAAGTGCGATTTTAGTAAAACATAAAATAGCTTAATAGCTAAGTATAAAATATTAAAATTTTCCAGGTTTGCTCAATCTATCCATAAACATGCAAACTACAATAATTTACTTATTCCCAATAAGAATAAAGTGGGAATTTTATATTTACAATTTTTTGAAATTTCCCAGGAGCTGATAATCTTACGAAAACTTCAAGATACTAAATTATTATATTGTCCTTGATACCTGTGTTTGGTAAGATTTTATTGGTAAGATTTGTGTTTGTCAATTGAGTGATTTCCCTTTTAAGAAACTTATCTCATGAATTGCCATTTCATTTCTTGAGGCTGGCTTTTTTCTCATTCTTTCAGGCACATGTTGTCTATGGTACGTGGCTCTGGGGTCACTCCTCACATGCTAAGAAAGTGTTGTTACTTCAGAAAAGAGCAATTCGAGTCATGTGTCAGACTCATTTTATAGAGCACCACAAACCTGTATTTACCGAACTTCGGATCATGACTGTAGTCAATGTGTACATACTGTATATCAATGTTTGATAGCAATTAAAGATATGGAGGCTGTTCTTGTATATAATAAGGACGTTCACTCATACATGACCAGAAATTGCTCAAATTGTACATATAAGTAGAAATAGATTAAGTAAATCACAAAACTGTTTTCCTGTTACAGGTATTAGGTTTTTCAATGCCCTCCCTGGTATTGTCCGTTCCCAGAGAGGAAATCAAAATTTGTATCTATTGTGAGAAATTGGCTTGAGTTGAACCCATATTACAAATTTGAGGATTTTTTTAATGCCATGAAGGCTGCACAAAACTTAAATGCTTAATAAGTCATGTACGTCTACTGAAAGGTATGTTTGTTTGACAATTATATTTTGCATGGTTTTGCTCTGTGAAGATTTTGACAGAAGTGCTGATGTTTGGTTTGCAGTGGATTATTTTATATGTTTTATTTTTTCAGGAAAAGACTGAAATATAATTTTTAGCTCAACATGTTATGTTAGACAAAGCCTATTGTAAATAACTTAATGGCCGAAATAAATCTTAAATCTTGAATCTATTTGTTTCTGTAATCTCTAAAAAATCCTTAAAAGAAAAAAACTGTGAAATTTTATGTTTTGAGGGTCAAAAATAAGGAAAACCTATTTTTACCCCATCAAACCCCATAGGTCCAATCATGCTGGATGGTTCGCTAACTCTATCAAATAAATAATTAGGGTTTACACGTTCATACCAAATTTCATCAAGATCGGATGATTTTTACAACGGACACACACATACATTACATATATATATATTATAGTGTGTATATATGGGGACCTCAAAACGATATTACATGCTAGGGCTAAGGGCAATTATTACTACAGTACTGTGTTCAAGCATATATTACATAGGACGCGTCAAGGTGCCACTCAGAATATCTGCCACCTCTCTCGCAAGTGGTAAAGGGTTAATGGGTTGGAACCTCGTCAGGGTGACACCTTTACTGTATCCTGCACGAGAACCCACAAGTTATTAAAATTCATTGTAGCACCCCGGAACTGTAATAATGACTAATATTGGCTTTTTATTACCTGTCTTCAGTGCCAAATTTTAACTTCCGTAGATGCTACATGTTTCGGCGAGATACCATTGTCAAGCATACAGTCCAGCAATGTACATTAAAAAATTCGCTTTTATAGCTTCGTTATTGGTTTACATACATGACACATGACACACGACACATAAAATGGCTTGAAAATGGCATCTCGCTGAAACGTAGCATCTACAGAAGTTAAAATTTGGAACTGACGACAGGTAATAAAAAACTAATATTAGTCACAAGAACTTGCGGGCACGTTGTCAGCGTACTGGGAACGTAAACGAAACGTCACCTCCGAAATAAAGTAGTAGTGGGCACTACTGCAAAAGAAAAAAATATTAGTATTGCTTGTCCTACTGTATTATATAACCAAAGAGTAGACGACATCAACAACCCTAAAACATAATAAAAAAAAACTTTAGTTGGGGCTACTTTTTTATGGATTAAACAACATCACACCATATATACCTCAAAATAACAAGACATCCCTCCAAATAACAAGGCATACCTCTAAATAAAAAGACACCTCTCCATATAACAAGATAACCCTTTAAAAAAACATCTCTCCAAATTACAAGACATCCCTCCAAATAAAAAGACAAGTATTTCCAGGGTACAATGGAGGGATACCCCCCTTTGAGACCCATAGCCCACCCTTCCCCCTCTTGGAACCGCCACTGAATCTACCCTCATCCAATGAAGACTGTGACAATAACTACTTCTCTACAGGAAAAAAAAATGTCTAAATGTTAAGTGACAATCCTCAAACAAATCGTGGAGTATTTTTTCTTAACTACTCTAATGAGTTCTCAAAGCACGGAACAATAAACTAATGCAATTCAGTAGGTAAAAACATAGTAGCCTATAATGAAGAGAGAAGCATTTAATCCACGGTAAAAACAATTAAAACATTAATTTAATTAGTTGTCTTATCATTTTGTTGAAAAAGTATTATTTCCTTCAAATATCTTGATTAATGCACTTAAATGCTTGTTTCTTCGAACATTAAGAAAACAATTTATACTTGAAAGGCAGAATCTGAGAAAGATGATTAGATTAGTGCGAGGGGAGTTGTTGGAAATCTCCAGCCAATATGAGAATCTTAACAACTAGGCTATTACACTTTTAATATAATTTTTGATTGTTTTTTTTTTTTTGTTTAGTTCAACACTACGTCAAATATCTACTGTACTGCAGTATAATTGAAGAATTAAAAAACCGTTTCCTTGTTTATTTTTGTTTAGAATATTCACTGAGAATGAGGGGAAAAATTGTTCATCCATACTAACATGCTGCGGAAAGTGTATTTTATTGTTGCTGAAGATAATTATTAATAGTTGTATGTAAAAATTTATTCTTTAGATGAGTTTTTCCACCTTTGTTCACAAAAGAACTAAAAGTATATTTCAGGACAAATTATGTTAAGGTTCGGAGACTGATGTATTTTTAATGTAATTGTTTGACACTATTTATGTGTACCTATGTGCATGAAATAAATAAATAATTTTTTATTTGATTTGATTTGAAACAAGATATTGTTAAATTTAAATTACCAGATGTATTTTGGACAGTAAATTTTATGTATTATTTTACAATCGTAGTCGATATTTTAAGATCTTATCTCATCATTCAATGTCAAGGTTACAAATTGTTGAATGGTGATAGTTAAAAAAAAACTTGTTTTATTTTACACTAAATAGTTTCAATGCACACTATTGTAACACTAACTTTTCTTTGAATCAAATTGTCACAACACGTTCATACAAATGTTCTTAGCTCTCAATGAACATTTTTAAATATTTAAAGGGCATATCTTAATAAGAGGATAGCCAATTAATAAATTGCTTTAATAGGTAGTCGTTTTGTAATTTATATTTGCACGGTCAAGTTTCAATTTATATTTGTAATTCAATCATCTTGATTCCTGTTCATATCAATTTTGTCAACATTTACCACTATAGCACTCTAGTCAAAATCATTGCCAAACCCTCACTGTCCATACTTGTTATTGTTAAGATTTTCATATACATATATATATATATATATATTTGTACTGTTAAGTTTTCTAATTTTTGATGTTTTCCTTTTTGTTCCCTGTTACATCGCTAGGCTGATAATGTTTAGTTCAAATTCAAGACCATTATTGCATGTTTTTCTTGTTTGCTTTGCTGTTACTTTGCTTGTTTGCTTGTTTCTTTGTTGTTGTTATAGCATAATGTAAAACTTATTGCATGTATATAGCATTAATAACCCACGAATTGTAATGCATGTAATTGATTGTAAAAATGATGAATTTGCCGTGAATAAATAAATATATGGAATAGGTAACACTATAAATAGCATGTAACTACCAAAAATTGAAGTAATACTGTACCACCAAACGCAGGCCATTGAGGTTGTTGATTCTGTTAGTTTGTGCTTCACAAAGGGGTGAGAATACAGAAAATAATAATAAACAGTACAGGGCATATTTTTTAAATGCAACCCAAAAAAATTACAACTACTGTGAGACACCTTTTGACAACAAAACGATTGGCGTTTATATCTGTGTGTTTATTTACTTCAATGAGATTTGGAGAGAAGGAAAATTAACAAGGGACCTATCACAGAAATATTTTACAATAGAATGAAAATCATTACAAATTGTCATTATTGATATAGGTTAAGGAATAGATTTACACTTCCAACAAAAATAATTTACTTTTGTA